CCCCCCTTCCCCACCTGCATCTCTCATGCTGTGTGGGTTGTGGGGGTTATTTTTTATCATACTTCACGCCGGTCAATGCGGGTTGCTGAAGGCGACGGAGCGTAAATGAGGCCAAGTACAAGTACATTTCAAAAATGGAAATCAGCATGGGTGCAAGGGGGAATATAGTTTGTTGGAATGCAAGACCGTGAGGGATGATAATGGCTTGGGGGGGAGGCCTTCATTCAGGTGCGGGATATATCATGGCTGATGATCGTCATAATCATTGTGTTGCAGCCCCAATAGGCTTGTGTAGCGAGTCTACCGGGCGCCGTTAACGGCGAGCGGCAATGCCTACAAACCGTGGGGCGTCCGTTGAAAACAAATTGAATTGGCATGGCGTAGAGGCTTGTTAAGCAAGCGCACATCCTCTGCGGCTGTGGGGGACGTGAGCAGCTTTATGTCTGTGTGTCTAAGCTGTGAACACGATTGATTGGTTAATGAAACCGCGCCCCCCCCCCCCGACCACCCCCGCCTTTGTCACCTCTCCAGGTGCACTCACAGTCAGGGATGCAGGTTCAATTCCCAGTCGGGGGTCGACTGCGGTAGTAACATTGAGTGGTGCCTTCATGTGAAGTAAAATGTTATCGTCCTGGTTCTTGCCATGGGAATGTGAAATGTTGGCTGCTTAGCTCGGAGCCGATCCGTTCCTTATTTTGAGCATGGATCACAAGATTCACATGATTGAAAACCAGAGGGAGAGTCCGTTGAGACCGAGACTGTTTTAACAAGGGAAACCTGCTTTACAAAGGAAATATAACGCGCACACATTTTTTCCCATCCTCTTTCTGCTTCTTGCACTGCTCGACTTTGGAATTCCCTCCCAATCTTCTCCGTTTCCCCAGTTTCCATAACCTCCACTCAATTTCAAGAAACGTAACAAACCGTATCTGTTTCACTTTCAGTAGCTACTATTAGTCGCTGTCCGATTGGCGTTTTGTGCCTTTGGGCCTGTGCTCAGCCACCGTGATTTCAAAAAACTAAAAAAACTAAAAAGAGAGGATTTCCAATGAGAGATGAGTACCACCCAGGCTCTCAAACAATTCGTTGGCACTTTCTCTGCGAATCCCCAAGTCCCCTGTGCTTCGTGCTGCTGATGAGATTACTTTCTGTAGCTTAAATTACAGCAGCAAGTGCACTTTCTTTCCGCAGTACATTCACCATTGTCATATTCAGCTCCACGGGCCATTTCTGCTTTCCAGCGAGGTGTGGATTAGTATGTGGGTCATCGTGGTTCGCATTTTCCCTGCGCAGCCTCGGCTGCCCCGAGACACAGCTAGTAACCGAGCGCTGTCTTCATTGGGCGGGGTTGAGGAGCTCATGCATCCCATGTCTCATTTAATAGAGAGACCACTGCACTCAACGTGCTCTTCTGGGGGGTGGGGGGCCAGCCAGGCGTGTGGAGTGGAGAGGAAAGCACCAAGGCCCAGCCCTTTCCCGTGCCATTGATGTTGTGCTACTTTCATTGTGTGCGCGTGGGTGTTGGCATCGCATTTACAAAGTGGTGCCGTGGCCCTGGGAAACCCTGGTACCTTGAACCCTGGTACCGTTAGTTCCTGGCCATGCGTGTACTCAAGTGCTCTGGTAGTGTAGCTACAAACTTTTTTATTTTATTTTACTAGGAAAGGCCCGCTGAGCTTTATAGCTCTTTTTGAGAAGTGACCTGCTACAAATGATAGCTCAGCAAAGTGACTTATCACGTGGAAAATTATAGCAGCCAAACACTCTAAAAGCAGATTTCTAAATGTGGAGGTAAAAACCGGAGGACCCGGAGAAAAATCCACACGACCCCACATGTTACAGGCGTTCGGGTTGGGATCAAACCCACAATCTCCTGTATATCAGGAGAGGCAGTTGCATATCTCCACCATGGAGTGCCTCTCACCACCGCGAATGACTCCAGACTCACAACCAGCAATCGAACTCATGTTTTTAGAAGTGCCGGCTCATTTCGAGGTGGTCAGTAGATGGCGGTACGTAAGTTTATGTTTGAGTCTGTCTGTGCAAAGCTCTGAGGGTTACCTCCTCATCCATGTTGGTTTTTTCCGGGCGCTGTTGGCTTTTGCCCACATGAAGCCAAACGCTCATTGATAGAATTGTCCAAACTTCTTAATGAATGTAGCAGGACTCTTCCTGAACAAGAGGTGTATGACTCAATGAAGCTCACCTGAATAAATGGCGTAATTAATATTATGGTTGAAGTGGTAGCACAGTGGTTAGCTAACTGTGCTCAAAACATGGAGACCTGAGTTTGATTCCTGGCCGCATCTAACATCTGTGGTGAGTTATATATAAAACTAGTCCTTCACCAACCCACACTGACCAGACAACATCCCCCATGACCAACGCGGCGAACTCCAGGGTTGGATTTTAGACACCCACACATGGATTGAACTCAGGACCTCACAAGTGCTGGCTGATTACTCTAACATGAACATCAAACCTTGGAGAAACACCTAGTCCCAGGGCTTGAATCCAGTGCTTCAAAGCTATTGTGTTTATTGCTCTTACTTTGAATTCATCCTCCTAAGAGACACCTACACCCTGGGATTGAACCCAGGCACTCCGAGGCGCGCTGGCTGCCATGCCCTGACGTGAGCATCACCCCCCTTAGGGAGGCTGCTGTCCCCTTGCCTGCCAGCGTGTTTGTTTGTCCGAGTGACCGTGCGGCTTCATTTTGCACCGAAAAAGAAAGAAAAACCTTCGCGCCACAACGCTAGCTTTGTCCACACATCGTGAAAAATGTCACGGGCCCAAGACATTGCAGGGATGAGCGAGTGAGCGAGCGGGGTGGGCGAGCGGATGGGGGAGCGAGCGAATGGGGGAGCGAGCGAGCGGGCGGGGGAGTGGGCGGATGGGGGAGCGAGTGGGTGAGCAGGTGAACTTTCGGCTTGGTTTTGTGTTTACGGCAGTGATGCATTGCTTTGGGTCGCAAATGCCACCCTGCTTGCACGGCCGTACTGGCCCAACACCATGGAGCATAGATGTACAAGTATGACAAATGGATTTTTCTGTACTGCCCTTTGCTGCCCACCAAATAGTGCCGCAAACGCTGTGACAGCCTGTTTGTGCATGATAGTTCATACATGGTGCCACCCGGTATCAACGCTGCTCAGCGACTGAAATCGGATGGGATCGGGCTCTTTCCGAGTGATTTGGTTCCTGGCCATGTATTTGTCATTTGAGCTACAGTACTGACACCCACACGGCGAGTGGGATTGCCTCCTCTTGCGGGCGATGACATTGCAGCATCTATAAAAAAAAATAACAACCGACCTTTCAGCAGCATAACACAGAGGGACTCCTGTTTGATTCAATCAATGGTGCGTCAGTTGAAGCAAAGGGCAGGTTTCTTGGGTTCAGCACAGTTAGTCAATCGCCAGTTCAACTGGGGTGGGATAAAGTGTGGGTACTCGATCTTCTTCCAAGGCACCTGGTGAGCGTGGATAGAATAGGCCAAATAACCTCGAGGGGTAGTCTAGGGCTCTCTTGGAGGCCTTTCTGCCAACAGTGGCATGAGCAAGCAATTGTCGGGCTGCACCTTTACCTCCACATGTAGAGAAACATGCTTTTAGATTATTTTGCTGCTATAAATGTCCACATGATAAGCCACTTCGTTGAGCTGTCATTCGTGGCCAGGTTGCTTTTGAACACGAGGCTAATAGTTGAGTGAGCTTTACCAGGTGATATAAACATAGTTTAGTTTTATTTGTATATTTTTTTAAAGTGATTTGTTTACATTTCCTATACTTTGCTGCACTCCTGTTGTGTGTTGGTGTTGTTTGTCGTTGTAATGTTCTGACCCGCCCCTACTGGACATCTGTGAAAAGTAGCTTTGTAGTTCATCGGATTCCTCCAGTATAAATAAGTATTCTGATTCTGATCTTTTTGTGGTGAGCTAGGAACTGGGGGCTCCCCCCCCTAGATATGGCAACGGTATTCCAAGTTTGGCCCGACTTGTGCCAGGCAGCTCCCTGGGCACGCGGCTCCTCTGGGCGTTTGGCTCCTGGTTTCTAAAGTGTGAGGTCGAGCAAGCGGCTAATTACTCTAAGATGTAACCCCGTAATTTGTCATCAAGTTTCTTCATTTCTATTCAAAGTCGTGTCCAAGGAAAATATTTTGCCACTACATTTGCATTTTGTAGCCGTGAGCATGAAGGCTCCTCTTTGTTTCCCGGCATCGCGTAATGTTGTTTTAGTGTGCTGTACCTTGAATGATTAATTTAGAAACATTGCGGCCCTCAAGTGGGCTCGGGATGTTGAATAAGCGTACATTTTTTCAACGTGTCTTTAATTGCCTTCAGGTTACATGTGATTTTAATCGGGAATTTATAAAGATAATAAACTCATGTTTTGATGCAATACAGACCAGTGGACCAATCATGCGTCTCATGTTGTCCTGTGTCTCATGCCCTCCATTGTTTGGTGATTTCTCTCTCATACCCTCCTGTGTCTCATAAATTGGTACCTTGTACCTCCAGGTTGAGTAGGCAGCAAAGTGAACTCCTTGATAACTAGAGCTCTCAGAGGCAATGTGTGGTGATGGTGAGGCTCAAGTAGTGGGCTCCCACAACACCGGTTCTCCTGGGAGGCTGCTTGGGCTGCACCGTGGAGAAAGCGATGGAAGCCACTGCCAGCGCATTCCAGTTTCTCAATCCACCCTCCACGCGTTGACACCTTAGGCTGGAAAACCCACGGCGAACTTTGTTACATCTGAAACCCGGACCAACGAACCGCCACTCTTCTCATGTCCTTCCATGTGTCGGGTGCCCCTGTGTTTCCTGCTGCCCATGCGCTTGTTGTACCCCATGTGCGACGGTAGCCCTTGCTACAACTGCACCTAGCAGGAGTGTGCCCTGCTGTGCGGTTGAACCGCCCGTACGTGTGTGACAGTATATCTCTCTCTCTCTCTCCCGCGGTCTCTTCCGCCCCCCCCCCCCCCTCCGGCGCCTCGTGCCGCAGAGCCTGGTGCTGGCAGAGGACACACCGGGCCACGACAGCGCAAAGTACGTGCTGTGCTTCGAGGTGCGCGGCGAGGCCCTGCCGGAAGAGCCGCCCGTGCAGCCCTACAGACTCCCCTTCATGTTCTACAACGGTACGACCACAGCCGTAGCCAGGCAACCTGGTTACCCGGAGCAATGTGCCATCCTCACCCTACCCCACACAAACTGCTGCGGCGCCGGCACTGCCCCAACGTACCTTGGAGCCGGAGCCACCACCATGCCCCTGCCGCTGATTGCTTCGTTTCCGACGATTTGGTCACACATTTAGTCGAGCGGTACGCCCACGGCAGCCTCCTGCCCATCCCACTCTTGCTCTGGCGATGGGTTATGACAGCCACCGCAGCAGCAAGCCCCAAAGACACCATTGCTGATGAGGCCAAAAAGGTCAAAGCCTGTCCAGAGTTTGTTTAAACAAAGGCTGCCGGGTGATTTTGGTCTGCAAAAGCAAGAGCAATTCGACCGGCTCGTAATTTATTTAGAATAAAAACCTCTTGCACTTGGCACGCGAGAGTGTAGGCCAAAATCTGCTCATGAGACCAGACCGGAAGAAGCCAGTCCAGAGTGTGTGTCCTGTGGAATCGAATGCTGCACGTTGCCACCATCACATTCCTCCCCCGACGTTTTTGCAGATGGCAAGAAGCAGCAGGAAATGGCGGCGCTGTCGAAGCAACGGGATCAGCTGTCGAGCATTGTGGGGAAAATGCGGAGCATGCTGGAAATTAAGGAGAAGCTCGTGAAGGAGCTCAAAGGTGACATGAGCACTTGTCCAGACAAGCACACATGTTCAGACACGGACAAAGACAAACACGCATTTACGGATGGACACGCATGCACAGACATGTACAAACACACACGCTTACATGTGGACACTCACACATACACAAACAATATGGAGCCTTTCAGAGACTGTTGAGGCAAGTGCTGTTCGTGCGCACCGATGCAGGCCAACACGGTATGTATGTATGTCGAGATTCTTTTGTACCGTACGTAGCAACCGTCCTAATCGGAGATGCAGTACACGAGAGCCCAGGACCGATTCAGATAATGGTCACTAGCTTTGGCTGTGACCGGGCATCAAACTCGGGTTGCTGGCTTCATAGTGCAGTGCGCTAACCGGTACACTACCGCTCCCCATCCACACACACACACACGCACGCGTGTGCTCGCACATGTACCCACGCCGACACGCGCAACAATGCTTTTGGAAACCGAGGTGCGGAGATGGGATGTGAAGCATGGAGACCGCACAGCGATGGTAAACAGAGTAAGGGAGACCAGGAGCCTAGATAGAGCGATGCGAAGTGAAGGCAGCCGGAGGTCGTGAGATGTGGCAACGTTACGCCGCGCGTATGGGCGGAGTGTTTACGTATGCCGCTGTTGTGATCCCGCTGCAGTGGGGCAGAGAGAAGCCGCCACCAAGGAGCAGAAGCTGCGCGCGGATCTCCGCAAGCAGAAAGTCCCCGACATGCAGCTCAACACGGTGAGACCCACCAGCCGCGGCACTCGGTCATACTGCCCAATACACAGGCTGGTCCGCTCAGCCTAAACACCCTGCCCCAGACATGCTCCGTTGTCTGTGCAACCAAAACAACAGCAGCAGGCAGAGCTGACCGGCAGTGTTCGGCTTGCGTGTGGGCGTGCATAACAGCGAGCCACTTGCGCTCCTGTGTCTCGTGTGCCACTGTGCTTCATACCCTCATCTGGTGCCCTCCACGTGTGTTGCGTGTGACTCATTGTCGTCGGAAGTGACGTTTAGAGTGGACTTTGAACCACAGCAGCTTGCGCTCATAACCAGCGGTTTAGAGTTCCTTGCCCGCGCACTCAGCTGTGTCTGCGTGGCGGAGTCCACGTGCCCCCCCCCACCCTCCCCCCCTGTGCGTGCAGGTGGAGGTGGTAGATGAGCTGATCGGATCGCTGAAGGAGCGACACGAGCTTCTCGTGCAGCAGCCACGCCGCACGTGCACCCTGCCGCCATACCCGCGCGTCGACCAGGAAATCCTGGGCAAGGTGCCTTTTCTGCACAAACGATGCCTGCCCGCTTAATTTAGTGCTTGCCCGGATTCCAGGAACTCGCCCGTGGACTTGCTCGCTCGCTCGCTCGTTCGCCCACGGTATCGCTGCCCCTCTAACCATCTTTGATCCAACCTTTTATCAACAGTTCGCTCAACCTCCACCGTCTAGTTCACTCGCTCCCCAATCGTCCACCCGACCAGCACTGAACCATTACTCAACTCACCCACCGCCATTTACCTCACTCGCCCCACTTTCCACGTGCTCACCCACTCTCCGACTCTACCAATACTCAATAATCACCACCACCCCCACGAGTTTTACTCGCATAACGACCAACCATCAAACTCGCCCATTCACCCACAACCCACAAACTCAACCACCCTTTCAAAACTCGCCCATCTCCCATAAACTCATCCACTTGTTCATCCTTCCCCAACTGACCTCGCCCACCTTGCCTCACCTGCGGTGACTGGATTTCGGGTTTTGCAGCCACGGCCAACTTCCGCAGCCTGCGGTGCCCAGCAACCTGTCATTGGCCTTCCCCAAGGTCAACTCAGCCTTAAATGAGCACCTTATTCCGTGCGTATAAAATATTTTCCGGGCGTGGTGCTGACCACCCACCCACTCTCGTCTGCTGTGCCGGCCTTCGTAGGCACTACTCGCTAACAGCACTAGCCCACAACAGTTTGTTAAAGGCTACCCGGGGGGGGGGGGGCCTTTGTCTTTGCATGTGCGTGCCCCGCAGCTGGGCCACTTGGCACTGATCGAGGACGAGGAGGTGGCGAGGGTTTTGTCGTGGCACATGAGCGGCGACATGGACTGCCTGCTCACCCTCACGACGGAGGCCGCCCAGCGGATCTACGTCGAGACCAACGGGCAGCAACAGCTGCTGCCCCTGAGCTCCATCTTCAGGAGAAACCTGTCTGCCTGGAACAAGTGAGGCTTATTATTTTGGTCCTCGCAAGAGGGGGGACACCCTCGCTGCCTGTTGTGGCACCAAAAACCTTTGCAAGCAAAGCTCTGGAATACACTGGTGATTCAGTTGCGTTGGCCGCACCCCCCCTCCACCGCTAATCACCGGGCATTTGTGTACATCTGTGGTGCAGTTAAAGTCATCGGTTCAAATCTATTTTGTTGAGCAAGGTAAGAACTAAAGAGGCCAGGATGAGTGTCATTTGCGAGAGTGACTCCGGGGCATCAGACTGCAAGGAGGGGGGGCGATGATTGCTACCTGTATAATCCCAATTGAGTGATTTGTGGGTGTTCTTCGAATTTGGGCAAATCTGGAAGCTGACGCTGGCACACAGTGGCCTACTCATGAAAATTATGTCAGGGGATCTTTTAGCGTCCACTGCGACGCAGGCTGCGGGTAGTATCTTCACGGTTAATTGATTCAATCTCTCGGAGCGTCAGTGATAACCAGGGCGGCCGTTGGATTCGAACCGTGAACCTCTGCAACAAGTGGGGCGAAACATACCACTGCTAGACCGTGTCACTGTCCCGGGCGGAGCTGCATTGAGAAGCTTGGATAAATCCGTGGTGGAGGTGCAAGTGGTAGGATAGTCGATCGAAAGCGATTTGAAGCATTGTCTCTTTTTTCCCCAGTTGTATTCATCCGTTGGGAGATTTTTGTGCAGAGCAGTGCATCGCCCCGTTTGCCCGCAGAAGCAGACGTGGCAGAACTTTTCTTGAAATCCTTTCAAGTAACTTTTAAAAAATATATAATTTGCGCACTAGGGGTGGGAGGGTGCACTTTTCCCCCACTCCCTGCTACAGAAGAATGTTTGTTGCATGGCAGCTTGAATTGCAGGAAACTTTCCAAGGTTTTTTTTTAAGTGGTATTCTGCCGAAGGCTGTGTACACCAAGCCAAATGAGCAATTGAGGTGAACGTGTAAATTATTCTTCGTAAGTTTGTCCACTTTATTTCCTACGTTGGACATGTTACTGACAATTGCACATTGGTTAAAGCTTCAGCTTTTAAATGATCTAACTTACATAAAAGGCACACACTGCTGGCGCTATAGTTAGCGCTTTGTCACTTGTTCACGAAGACACCCTACATTATGGTGAGCATGGCTGTTGAATAGCACGTGATTATGGTGACGCCTCTTTAACCATGTGGCATCATGGGAAATACCCACAAATGCATTGCAAGCCACAACAGAGCACGTGTGTGCACAGGAGCTCAATTTCTCAGGACTGGACTTAAACATCTCTGGTTATGCACTGTGATGACCATATACTGGTATCGCATTAATCAAAGATCGTCAGCATTATACAGACCCAGCCATACAGCCATAACACTACTTTGGGCCGTTACAGAAAACTGAGCTCCCTTACAATCTGTGGGGCCTCTATAAAAGTGGGATGGGCACAGCCTTGAGACTTGTTCAGCAAGTTAACATCATCTCCAGATGATGAAAATCCCCGTCAACTGGAAAAGTTGTTCCGCCGGCCAAGACGAATGCTTTTAGATGTTCAGCAGCGGTGGCCTGGTGGCTCACGGGACTAATACCAGTGCCCATGTCAGAGCACTGAGCCAGTTTGATTACTGAAATCCCCGAAACAGTGAACACTGAGCCAGCACCACTGAGATCCGAGATACAGAGAGAGTACCGAGCTAGCAGTGCTGAGATGCTTGGTTCAATTCCAAGTTTCCTTTCTTTAAGTTTGGCCTCCTGAGATTGAGCCATGAATTTCATGATGTCAGCTCGGCTACCACCAAATGCACAGCGCATTGCATGAAATAGGTTTTTCACTTGAATTCGAGCAGAGCCAGTCGCGACAGGTTTTCGTGTACGGCCCCCCGACTATGCGATGAGCGACACGTGGCAAGCTACCCTTTTCACAGCCGGAGGATTACCGTGCCGTGGTTATGGTTAACAAACCGGTTATGCCATTAGTTCCCGTGCCATCGTTTCTGGGGTCAGTCCCCACTGACGTCAATGCGAGGTCCTGCCGGAATAGGCAGTTCCTCACTTCATATCTTGATTATAGTAATCAACGTAATAATTAACAGCCCCTTTGTCATCCGGCTGACTGATGAAGGCCTTCCCGCGTCATTTCAGCCGCAGGGGTTTGTTTGACCATACTTCACCGCGCTGGTTAGTGCGGGTTTGGCGATAGGGTGGGGCAAGGGCAAGAACCGGTTCAGACTTCGCTAGCCACTTCTGTTAGCTGTGGCCAGGAATCAAATTCTGTTCGCAAGGTTCCACACTAAGCGCTGCGCTAACCGCCGGACCAGTGGCCCATCACTGCAGCACATTATGAAGCTGAAATTACAGCAGCAAGTCCTGCAGTACGTTCACCATTGTCATCTTTGTCATCAGTCGTTATCTATTTACTGCTGGATGAAGGGCTTCCCAAGTCATCGCCATCCCCCGTGGTCTGGTGATGCATTGACGCATCCAGCTGCTGCCGTGACTGATGTTTCAGCGGCAGGGGACCTTCTTCACGTTCATCCGCTGTGTTTCTATTTATTTGTTTATTTACCAAGTAAGGCCCACTGAGCTATATAGCGCTTTCTCAGAAGCGACCTGGCCACAAATGAAAGCTCAACGACGTGGCTTATCGTGTGGAAATTTACGTCGGCCAAAATACTTTCTAAATGTGGAGAAAAGTCCACGCGACCTCAGGGGGGGGGGGGATAAAGACACGCAAACTCCAAATATTACAGGCGTGAGGGTCGGGATCGAAACCATGACTTCCTGTATACCAGGCGAGGCAGTTAACATCTCGCCACCGTGGTTGCCTGCTCGGCGACGAGTGTGGAACGAGCGTGGAACGAGCGTGGAACGAGCGAGCAATTTTATGCTAAAACTGCACTCTTCGATGAGCTCATAGTGGGCCCTGCGTCCGTTCCGCGCGGCGCGCGCAAACCGCCACATGTGCTCGCCACCTGCTTCTCAGGCTCCGTCCTGCGCAACACGAATAAATACAAGAATTATCTTTTGGCACTGGAACTAACGATTAACCCGTAGTTTTCCCAACAACATGATCGGGCGAGAACCGTTCGACACCAGAAATATGGCTCCAAGTTGTTGCCGTTTGAATTCGTCCCGAGGATGTTTTTTCAGCGTGACCTCTAACCATCACGTAGCTAACAGCTCGTATCACTCGATGATGCCCAAACTTTCCCTATAAATGCATCCAATCTCAGACGTATCTCAGAAGCTAAGCAGAACTGAGTGGGTTAGTGCTTGGGTGGCTGGGAGATGAGGACATTGAATGTCACCTCCTCGCGTGCATGGTGGAGAAACTCCACTTACTCTAGAATCTTCCCACAAGCCAAAATTAGTCAAACATCCCAATGCAGGAAAGCAACGAGGTTCTGTGAGACTTTACTGGATAATTGGATATTTTATTATTATTATACATTCCAACCCCAGTTTCCTTTTGGGGAGATCGGCAACATCATTGAGGCGGGTTCATCTGAAATTGGGGGCTAAATGGGCCCTGGTGTAGGGTTGTGTGAACACCAGAATGGTCTGACTACTGAAGACAAAGGAGTCTCAAGTAGAGACTATAAAGTATATATAAACAAATATTATCAGGTAAGACCCACTGAGCTATAGAGTTATTTTTTAGAAGCGACCTGGCCATAACTGATTGCTCAACGAAGTGCCTTATCATATGATAATTGATAGCCAAATACTGTAAACGCATGTTTCTAAATGTGGAGGGGAAAAACTGGAGGACCCGGAGAAGAATCGACGCGACCACGGGGAGAACACGCGAACTCCAAATGTACAGGCATCGGGGTCGGGATCGAACCCACAACCTCCCGTATACCAGGCGAGGAAGTTAACATTTCGCCACCATGGAAAGACAATGACACTCTCAGCACGGTAGTGGTATTCTTGAGTCTTCTGGCTCAGGCTTTCCTGGGTACACAATCGGCAGCGTTTAATACATGCGCATTGCTGTCAAGTAAGGGGCAGCTGGGCGTAATGCAAGTCGTGAGCAGTGTGGTGTCGCTCGCTCGCAGTCTAAAATGAGGGCACTGCATCGTGCCCGTTATTTCCATGTTTGGGCGGTACGTTCCCTGCTACTCATTGCCAGTTTGTGCGCCCCTGCCCCATGATCACTTACAAGAAAATATATTTTCCAGCAAAAAAACGTCGCCGCTGCCAAATCTGAATCCGTCACGCTTATTTGGCCGCTCGGCGAGTCACGGTCCATCGCTGCTGAAGCAGCGCGATGTGCGGTGGAAGCAGGCCGCTTTCAGAGCCAATGCCGGCACTGCCAAGGCACGTGGGTTGAAACTTTACGAGCTCCCCACCCAAGATGTAACTGGGATATTTCGCGCGCGCCGCCGACTCTCATGGTTTGTGTTTTCCTTATAATCCCTTCGGCCTATTGGGCCATTGGTGCATGACTGTTTCCTACTCTCCATCACAGGCACCTGCTTGCGGTGGTCTCTCCTCTTCTCTCTGTCCGTCGCTGTGTCTTTCAACCAAGACGGCTTCCATCCCGCGCTATGCTACGTCTTTTTCCTGCGGTACCTTCCAGTGTTACCGTCCTCTGCAACCGGTCACCATTCACACTTGTCACACGTCCGAAATATTGCAGTTTTCTGATTAGAGCTGGCTTGGTGGCCAAAACTGATGACTGTGGTAGCCATTGGAGGGGACATGACCGAGAGGATAATCAGTAGATATAGAGCAATTCAATTTGCTCTGCTGGTGCGAGTAAGATTGTGGAATGGCAAGATCATAGGGTATACAATTATTAAACTCCTAAGCTTTTTAATTTACCAGGTAAGGCCCACTGAGCTCTGTATAGCTCTTTTTCAGAAGCGACCTGGCCACAAGTAATAGGTCAACGAAGTGGCTTGTGGAAAACTATAGCAGACAAATACTCCAAAACGCACGTTTACCTGTATCTATTCTTGTCAGGACTTCCTTGCTTGTTGCATGTTCTTGCTCAGAAAGAATTCTCGAAAAAGGCTTTCATTAAAAAAAAATCTTCTCTATTTTCATCTTGATAATTAGTTTTTTTACCCTTTTATCTGGCAACAAAACTGACACCTTTTTTTTACAAGGAATCATGTTTGCATTGACCACAATACCTGCGGTCGGGGTTGCAAACAAAAAACACAACTCTGATAATGTGCACTGTCCTTGAAGTTGATTGGTCCACACCCGAGACAGCTTTCCTTAGAGCCTAGTCTCACATGGGTTGGACCAGATGACGCTATTTACGTAGGTTTTTTTTGTTGGCCGTACAGCTCTCCAATACATTTTCGGGATGTACTTCGTGTTGTTTGGCGCAAAATCTGACGTTTCGCTCCCATTGGCGAGAGCTTCTTCAGAAACTGTTCCATGCTCAACAGGAACAGTTCCATTCCCCCTCCCATTCGCCCGTCATTGACAGGAATATTCACTCCCAGTTTAGTCAGCAACCTAGGAAGAAAGTGCACTTATGTGCGGAGTTTATTACATTTAAAATATTGTTTTAAATGTTGCAATGAAAGGCTGGGAGGGGGTTGGGAGGGGGGTGGACGAACCATCCCGGGGCCACTAACACCCACGTGAACGCTGAAGCACAAACATGTGACTTTGGCGGCGGCAGCAGTGGCAGCGATAAAAAAAATAAAAATAAAAGAATGAAATAGGAGATAAAAATAAAAGCCTATTTATCTTGCGCGTCGCCTTCAGCTGTTTGCTGAACCGTTTTTATAGGTGGAGGCAGCGAGCGCGGCCCTGCCTGGGTGGTCTGCAGCGACAGTTGCGATGTTTAAAGCGACATTTCTCTCCAGCGAGAGTTAAAATTCTTCGCGTTGGAGGGAGCCTGTCATCGTTGCTGTGCGCAGGCCCAAAACACCAACTGGATGGCGAAACGAATAGCACTGTTGCTAAATTCCTCTTGATATACAAATTATTTTGTCAAGGTGCTCTTCCCCCTCCAACCCAGCTTAAATATACGCTCCAAGCCTGGTGGTGTTTCATTCAGACGCCGTCTTCCCGACAGACCTGGTCTTCACCTGAGGACGGCTGCTTGCGTTGTGGCCGAAACGTCGTGGGAATTATTTTATTATGTTTTATTTGATTTATTTTATTATTTCCCTTCTACGTGACTTTACCGAAAGAACCAAGAAGATGAATCCCTGCAGTCACGAAAGCTTTGAATCGAAATTTAAGGTGTTAATAGTTAAGAGCATAACACGTTTCTTGAATTGAATGAGGTTGTTATTATTAAGAGCTTGAGGGAGAATATTATGATGGGAGGGAATTTCTAAATATATTGTGGTGGTTGAACACTGCATGGATGGAACAGACTAGTCTGGGAATTCTTAACCTTGCTGCAGGAATCCATGAGGGAAGTTGCAAGGTTATTACCATGGTGTACATACCATGGTGTACACACTCAGAGACACTAGGAGTAGGAGGCACTCTATTATCAGCCTTCACAGGTGACAAGAGGTAACTACAACTCCCAGTCAGGACAGCTGGCAGACTGCCTGCGAGAAGGTGAAGACGAAGACTGGCGACGAAGACTCCAGCAGCACGACGAGGGGATCCCACTCCAAGCAACAGCCCCGAGCCTTCGCTCGGGGTCCCCTTTTATCCTCCCAGCGTGGCCTCGCTCCACCCCAGCCACGCCCCCCTTCTCGAACCTACAAGCGGGTTCCCAGGCTCACCTCACGTGCCCCCTCTATCACCTTTCCCCTACATCCCTCTCTCTGGCTTATCACGTGACCTGCTGACAGGCAGGGCTGGTGCAACTGCAGATTCCCCCTTCTCTGCCAGCAACCAGGGCTATGCTACGTAGTGACCCATTCCATGTTACTACACATTTATGTATGTCGAACATCTTTCGCGCCATACGTAGCCAACCGTCCTCATCGGAGGTCCAGGGGAAGGAGCCCATACTAAACACAAAAGCAGTTCTCAAGAAATTAGTTTTCAATCTAGATTGTAAAGTACATAGCTCCAGTAGCTTCCTAATATTGGAAGGAAGAGTGTTCCAGACGGCCGCAGAAGCGCATCTGAAAGCGCGCGATGCGGTGACCGTCTTTGTTCGATGGCTAGCCAAAAGTCGCTGCGAGGATGACCGGAGTTCGCGTGATGGTTTATGCTCCTAGACGAGATCAGCAAGGTATCGTGGTTCATTTGTAGCAAACACTTTGTGTATAATGAGTACGACCTCATAATTTATTCATCCGACAACCAGAAGCCAATGCAGCTCAGCGAGCGCTGGACGGACATGTTCGTAGCAAACGAAGAGTGATAACCAGGCGACTGACTGCCAGTGAGCAAGTGACTGGAGTGAATTGGTGAGTGGTGGATCATGAATCACCCTGACTGCTTTATGTTTAGTTACACCATCTGCCAGTGAGCTCGGAAATGGGTGCTCCACCCCAGATGCAACAGCAGGATTTCAACTTAGGCCGAATTTGTGCTGAGTTAGTCGATTTGTAGACACGCCATATCTCTGTAAGCACAGCAAAACTGGCCACTGCATGGATGGACATGTGCGAAAAATCTTGAGCCAGTAAATATTTTTTGAATAACACGCTGGACATTGCAGAAAATATATGTGACCACTGTTAAGCAGTTTAATTGCGCATATGCGATGGAAGAGTTGCAATGGGCTCTCTTGTTGTTAAATTAAAGTGGTTCCGTTTAAACTGATTAAAATATTTTTGTTCAAGTTTGTAGCAAAAGTAACGATGCGTGCGTCCACGTCCTCTGCGTGCGCACGTACATTGTTTTGTGAGCCAGGCCCACTCTTTCCATCGGCCAACCAATGATTAGTACTGATGCATTGTGGGGAACTCCATTGGCATGATGAAGAGGAAGGCATCTGGGTGAATGTGGCCGGGCGTGTAACGTGTACACGTGTGGGGGTGTGTGTGTGTTTTCACAGGCACATGTGTGTTCGCACGCTCGCATGCGTGGGGAGCGGGAGTGTGTAGTGGCTAGCTCAATGTGCTAAGAACCCGGCAACCCGAGTTCTATTCGCGCTCACTGCCAACATTAGCGACGAATATCTGAACCGGTCCTGGGCCTCCCCTAGGTCGACTTAGTCTCAAATGAGTACACGGTGCGATGTGCCACTGGAGACAAAGGCGGCCGGACGTGACGTGGTGATGGTCACCCCACCCCTCTTGTGCCACAGGTGCTCGCTAACAACACTTGCCCCAACAGTCTGTAAAAGCTATACAGGGGATCTTTGTCTTTTTGTGTGCTTGCGTACAGGCCGCTACCACACATGATCAATGGCCGTCCGTGGTTCAATGTGGAGGGGAATCCTGTGTACGCGCGCCACCTGCTCATCTTCCCAAAGCACCAGCAGCAATGCCAGATCGGTACGCAACGCGTGCCACTATGGCACCGCACCTGCACCAGTCCCACTACGCAACAGGGCACAAAGCACACCGCCAGTACACACCACGCCTGCACCAGCACACACCAGGCTGTGCCCGCACCGCACCAGCATCCACCGTACAGCCACACCAGTACACCCTCTGACTACGCCACTCATACTAGCGCACCTGCACCGGCACACCATCATGCACCCAGACAAGTGCACGCCTGCACTGCATCAGCACGTACCACACCGCAGCAGTGCACACCGCACCGGTGTGCACTACAGAGAAAGGGGGAGAAGGAGAGGAGAAGACAGAAAAATTAGAGGAAAGAGGATTGCGTGTAGAGATCGCGTAATGGTGGAGGGGGGGGGGAGAGACTTCTTCAGTAGCGGCGCTAGGCTGACTCGTGCCGAGCGTGTGTACCGGGGCTCGTGGCAAGCGCTGGCGGTCACCTACGCGAGACGCTAACCAAGGCTCTCGGCTTGGCTTCTGAGAACTGGCGCGGTGGGGAGCGCGTCCAGGGGCGGTTTTGGTGCAGGTTTTGTGGAACAGATTAAAATCGTGGCGTTCGCAGAGCTCCCATCAATTTAAAAAGGAGGTGATGAATGTGTGCTGGGGTTTTTTTTTTTTTTGCAAACGTATTTAATTCATGTGTAAGGACTGAGTTCGACATTTATATAAGTGGAATCTTGGCACCGATGGAAACATTCTTTTCCAGCTGTTGATATATGTATATATATGAACGAAAAAAATTGAAATATTCTAAACATGTTTCTACTCCCAAGATGGTCTTAAATTTTCTCCTTTTGGGATCTGCTCGGTCTAATTACGCAATATGCTCATGGCGTATTCATAAATACGCATTCGTTTACAATTTAGTGAATTGGCTCGAAGGAAAAGGTGCCACAATTTTTTTCGTAAGAATTTTTCCACCCTTATATATGAGCGTCTTGCGTAACAGCCGTGCGTTATTTAGATGTAGGTGCCCTTTTTAGCCTGGGAGAGGCCCGCTGATGGGGGCTTTTTACTGCATCAAGGGAGACAAAGGAACAAATATAAATGTAGAATACAGGTTTCCCTCGCTTTATGCGGCAGATGGGACGCACAAAGCGAAACCGCACGAGACCGCTGCGAAACTGACCGCATAGCCACATATGATTGCATTCAAACTGCGTAGAGCAAATTTTGGATGGAATAGGTTAGCTGCGTTTCTGCAAAATCGCTCAAACCGAAACCGCGCAAAGTGAGGCAAATCTGTAGTCGCAATTGTAACAATTATATTTGCGTTACGTCATTCATGCCAAAAAACACACGTGAACCATTTCAAGCTGTGCGAATGACTCGCCTCCAAGTAGCACGGTTGGCGACGTACAGTGCGAAAGAAGTTCAACACACATATATGTAATAATTCAAGCGTCCAATGGGAATGAGCTTCAGGAGAGCTGTAAGAAGAACTTGCTCAAGGAGAAGGTAGCAAATTAATGTTCAAGGTTAATGGGAGCCAACCAAAGGCTCGTACGACAAGTTTTGCTAAACAGCTGACAGGTACCTGTCAGGGGACACACACCTGGAAAACATGGCGGAGTTCATGTGCACCTGGTGCAGTTGGTGAAGGTGGAACGGGATCTAAATTATTTGACGAATAGGTGGACGAGGGAAGGTCGGTCTACTCCAGGAAGACGCTATAGACTATGGACACGTTTGCTACGTGCGACGGGTAGATTGACAATCTGGGCAACCTTTGCAAACGGTGACGTTCGTTCTCCAGGGATTATCCAGGTGATATATTTTTTAATACATCTAAAAATTTGAAAACCAAATCATAATTATTTAAAGCAACATACCAAAGTGTCAGCAGAGGAACATATTTAATCGGGGTTTGTTTACGGCCATGACAGGTGGGAGAGAAACATGGGCATTGACAGGATTTGGGGGCAAAAAATCTTGAAGTGCTCAAAGAAGCGTTGCAAGTCGCACACTTGGAATTACACTTGACGGTCCGTGGGGCCAGAGCAGATATTTCGCCGGTCGGTACCACCGGAGGTGGCATCGCTTTAGCGGTTCCAGTTCATTCATGTGGCCAGTAAATGGTGAATTTTGTGAGAACCATTTTAAAAGATTGGGGTTATCAAATAATTCACTTATCGGCTGTATAAATACATGAGCAAGACTAAAGTTTTGCTTACCTTAGGTGGTACCGACTTCTGCTCTAGCCCATGGGCTGTTAGAGAGAGGGATGCGTCACCTAAGCGGTCCATAGAATCCAGGCTGCTCCTTTTGTGTGTCCCCTGCAGTGTTCTCACAGCTGCTGGGGGATGCCATCATCCTGGACTCTCTGGACACGGCCAACCGCTACAGGCAGGAGGTGAGCACCGTGAGGGACCCACGTGTGGCCTAGCTGTGGCGCTGGGTGGCCTAGGTGTGGCGCTGGGTGCCCTAGGTGTGGCGCTGGGTGGCCTAGCTGTGGCGCTGGGTGGCCTAGGTGTGGCGCTGGGTGCCCTAGGTGTGGCGCTGGGTGGTCTAGGTGTGGCGCTGGGTGGCCTAGGTGTGGCGCTGGGTGGCCTAGGTGTGGAGCTGGGTGTCCTAGCTGTGGCATGGGGTGGCCTTAAATGGTGGCGCTTGGTGTCAAGTCATAGGTGTTCCAGTAGTACTGGTGACTGGTAGTATGTTGGTTGCACTGGCTGAATGGCCTAGCGATGGGTAGTGTCGTCGTAGTTGGTCTACGAATTGCTAGTGCAGAGTGGTCCAGTGATTGAGACAAGTGTGAGGGCCAGGTGGTCTCGTGTTAAGATGGTCTAGTGATGGGTAGTCTTATCAGCAGTCCTGGGTTGTGTAATGATCACTCGTTGAGTGGTAACAATGGGCGGTGTAACACTTGTTGCTCTAGAGCTGGCTGGTCTAGTCGTCGCACTGGGAAGTATATAACCTGGTGGTCTACAGCGCCGGATGATCTGTAGTCGCCGCACCGCATCTCTCCTCAGGTCGTCAAGTCGATGTTCTGCCCGACGCTGCTGACGCGCAATGGGGAGCGAATCCGCAGCAACGGCAAGTTTGGCGGTCAGCAGAACCACGCGCCTTTGCTCGCCAAGCTCCGCGGTGCTGTCTTCGGAGCGCCCCTCCCCGCCGAGTGCCAGGAGCTCAGCAGCCAGATCGGTACGGCTCCACCGCCGTCTCGTGGGTTAACGTCGTGGTGTGGGTTTAGGAAACACTCGAGCCACTTGCCCGGTGAATACAACCACTGCTGTCCCCCGACACTCCAGCACAAGCGGGCACTGGCAGCAGCTGTGGTCGCCATTCTGAGCAAATTTGTGCAGGTGTATTTATCACCTGGGTAATAAACACAGAGGCTACATTTGTGTGGGTTGCGTGTGCATGTGTGCGTAGTGTAGCGGTTGGCGTGCAGCGATACAAACCCGGCGACCCGAGTTCAATTCCTCTTCTCACGACCAACACCAGTGACAATTATCTGAACCAGTCTTGGGCCTCCCCTTGGCCAACTCGGCCTCAAATTAGTACCTGGCAGACAAGGGCGGCCGGGCATGGTGCTGGCCACCCCGCCCCTTCGTGTGCCGTGCCGCCCTTCATAGGTGTGTCCGTTAACAGAACTTGCTCCAACGGTTTGTTAAGGTTGTGCAGCAGAGGTCGCAACCGGGTACCCGATACCCGTACCCTACCCGATACCCGGCCGGGTACGGGTCCGGGTACCCGTTTGCGACCCTGGTGCGGCCGGGTACGGGTAGGCCGTGAGTCACTGGTGAGTAGCCGTTTCTCACTCATTTCGGGTAGGGTACGGGTACGGGTAGAGTACGAGTACCCGTACCCAGCCGGGTACGGGTACCCATTTGCGACCCTGGTGCGGCCGGGTACGGGTAAGGAATCAAAACCCGTTTGCGACCTCTGCTGTACAGGCGATGTATGTCTTTGTGTTGTGTGCGTGCGTCGCGAAGGCTACCTGCAGGAGCTACGCTCGGCCATCGAGCAGCATAACGATGTGCAGCGAGAGCTGCGCTCGCATGTGGACGAGATGCGGTCGCCGCAGATGAAGCAGCAGCAGGCGGAGCTGCGTGACTCGGAGCAGAAACTCCGCTCGCTCGAGTATAAAATTGGTGAGGTCGCTTGCCCCCATTGCCACGAGCCGTGACCCCCACACCATCATCCTGATCCTCGCATCCCTCCGATGACTCCATAACTAGTCCCATATCCTCTCCCAGATTGTTCTCTTCCCGGAAATGGAATTCTCCGTTCAATGTCTTTGGACCTGTGATGTGTGTGCGAGTCGCCGTCTTGTTCACCCGTCGGTTGTGTTCCTCTGCCCGTCGCTCTCTTTACACCCTTTGGCTTCTCTTTCCTTCCCCTCTGTACTTTGCTTGTGGTTCACCCTGACCTCGTTATATTTTCATCCATCTTTGGAGCGCTCTGCCTTCGCATTTCAACACTTAATAAATGTAAATGCTTATCTTGAATTCACACACGCGTTTCACTGCACGCATTGCGAGCGTAAGAATCAATTTCAAGCAATTAAATTTTTACATGTCCCCCCCCCCCCCCTCACTGCCTTAGGGATGACCCCACAACGGCCTGGACTAAAAGCCGGCATGCCCGTGACCCTTGACCACCGGGGCTCATACATATCCACTGGTGGTAATGGCTTGGACTTGGCGACTCCCTCGACCCCTCTGACCCACAGACGTGGCCGACGGGAACCCGCCCGGCGCAGTGGGAGGTGAGCGGCGTGAAAACCCACAGGCAACAACCAGGCTCACCAGGCCTACTTGGGTCTTCTGCCCAACGTCAGGTCTAAGGATTAAACTCCCTCCATCCTATCCGATCTTGAGCTTTCTTCGGTCAAGCAGCATCTGTCTTTTTCTGCCTTTCGGGTTTTCTTTTCAAGAATACTTCCTTTCAAAGAACTTCCTTCATCGAGCTTTTACCTCACCCCCCCCGGGTAACGCAGAGGGCATCAAGCACATGAATCAGGAGGCGGCCGGGTGGCTCGGAAATCAGAGTGCTGAGCTGGCAGCGTTGAGCTGGAAGTATCCTGGTGTTTGAGTCCAGCTTTGAATCACCAGTGATTTTACCAGGTTCTAAAGCGGAGCCATTTATGGCCTGGTCACCAATGATAAATTTGGTTATGTGCTTAATCTGGGGTTAATTCCTGGTCTTAAAATGTAAATATCAACACTTTTCTGACATTTGAATTGACGAACATTTGTAATGTTTGTGTTGTAGCCATTCAGCCGGCTTCTGCTAAAGGAATAACCATGTTGAATATCTCACTCCTGCCATGTCCATCTCGTCTCCTCGTCCCCCCTGCCCCAGTGACAATGGAACAAGCAGCAGCCCCGATACCCCCATCAGGAGCAAGCGCCGCAAGCTGTGACGGCCTTCGCCAGTCGAAAATTTCGTCTGGGACATTTAAGAACATTGTGGTGGCATTGTGGGTAATGCAACACCCATGCCGCCCCCACAGCAAGAAAGGGGGCGGCAGAAGCTGGAAGGCGCTGGTATAACCAACTCTTCACCCCCCCCCCCCCCCCCATCTGATTTAAAGGGGTCACTCATGTTGGCCTATGGCCCACAGACGAGGCTGCATTGGGACACACTGGGATGAGCGCGGCTACGTGCCCCAACCAAGCATTACCGGAGTGCGTTTAAATTTGTGAAGAATGTGCCGCGTAGGTTCGAAAAACGAAAGCTTGGATGTTGCTTGCTGTTCCTGACCCTGTTGGTTTGTCCCGACGATCATCGATCCTGCCTGTGCACGCCTGTCGTTGCGAAAGTGCGAAGACAGGAATTCACCTTTATTGGGAAGATTTGTCGCCGTTTTGGAGGTAAGCTCGTGCCAGGCGTGGTTGGGCCCCTGAGCACTTCAAAAGGTGGTCACGCAGAGAAATGCGTGTGCATTAGATTCTGAATCTGACTGGCCTAATGAAGCGGGCCTTGTAGCGAGCAGTACAGGTGAGTAGGTCACTGACCTACCTGTATCAATCTTCGATTATTTTCTGGTATGCACATGATCGTTTCTGGTTGCGCTTTCACCACACACACTCTGAGAATTTGGCGAACGTGCGGTCATAGTTCTCTCCTGAAAGGACTCTAGTTCTTGTTGTGTTTTTTAAACGAAGGAGCGCGCCACCGCAAGTGGGGACGGTCACATATTATCTATCGTCAGTCAGGCCGGTCGATGGAGTCTGATTTTGAAACTAGAAACGGTGAGAGATTTGGAAACGAAACAGGATTCATGATTTTTAATTCTTCTAAGAACGAATGGATGGATATGAGGAAAACTGGGAGTAAATAAGCCTTGCTGAACAAATGTTAATCTTCAGTCAAGGTCAGTGTTTACAGTTTTAGGTGTCCTATTTAATTTATCATAGCTATAGTTTCACGTTGCTTGTCCGTGTAGCACGGTTGGCTACGTACGTGGGAAAGAAATTCAACATACACATGTACGTTGCTATCGCTGTTGATACCAGCTTTGTATTAGATTTGACGTTACGTCCGTGCTGTCGCTCGCGGGGAAATTATCCCACAGCTCTGTGTGTACTGAGCTGTTCTGCATTGCCTACACATGCAAAGGCAGCAGCTTCTTTTCCAACCACATTGTCCAACTTTTCCCAGTCTCTTCTGTAAGTAATGAATATATCTCAATTACAAAACCGTTCGTGAAAAAGGAAAAATGAATCCTTCCATCAAAATGCTAAGATTTACAACTTTGGGCGTTACTCTGCGTCACTCGCGTGCATCGTCCATTGACGGACGTCATTTGGTTCGGGGTGGTCACGTGACAGGCTGAAATGCGGAACTGTGTATTAGTTTGGGTCACTGTGATTGATTAAAGTTGGTGACCATCATCTCTTCATTGGCATACTGCATCTGTTGTTTCCCAAGCACACCCTCCTGGTGGAATTCGACACGTGGCAACAGTTACTTTGATACATGCCCAATAGTGGACATTAATTGGGGAAACCGATCAAGAAACTGCAAAATCAATTTTGCTGGCCACTCTTGTGACATGGAAAGCTATGACGAAGCTGCTCGTGGTTAAATGGTCGGCACACTTGACTTGTAATCCAGGGGTTGCCGGTTCGATCATCCCAATGCGGCTGTTATTTAAAAGATTGAGTGGTTTGTTTTTTAAATCCCCCCCCCCCTCCCGCCCCCATCGTGTCTGTCAACCCATCCCTACGAATGGGTGGGGTGAAATGTGGGTGCTCTCACCTCCTCCGCGAACGAACGTCTCCAGGGTGGGATAGTCAAATGCCTCCTGGAGGAGTTCCCTAGAAGCTCCCTGTAATGGAGGCCCTTCAAACATCTAGGAATGCGGTCAATTGAGTGCAATCGGCAGCACAAACGCGGAGCAAGTCGTTATTAACGTGCACCTTGAATGTCACTGTGCAGTTTGCATCTACCGTTCCAAATTAGAGGAAAAAAAGTTCTGACAAAGGTAAAAAAAATGTAAACTTTAAATATGTTGAATTATATTGTGTACAGGTCATTTATATTGCTGTATGTATAATACCATTTAAGAGGAAGGCTTCAAAACTAATGATAGTATTGTAGGCCACTGCAGATGGCAATTGTGAAACATTGTACATTTATTTTACTGAACGTTTGTTACTTGCCTAAAAACGCATATTTGCCATAGGCCCATTTTGCAAACAACTAAATAAACAGGTGTTTTTACTTTTAAAAAAAGGTATTTTTCTTGTTCTTTTATGCTTTGTGTATTGTTGCAAAAGAAAACTGATCGTGGAAACGGAAATGGTGAAAATGTTGCGCTGCAGCGAGTGTCCTCCCGGCTCTCTACACGTGCTGATCTGAGGACGTGAGATTGACTCCTGTCCCTATGGCAAACGTTCGCGGCGTGTTATTGCGGAATTGGGACTGGCTCACACACCCCCTTCCCTCCACGTACCTACCCATCCTTCACCAACCCACAACCGAACAGCACTGGTAAAGTATGGTCAAACAACCCTTGTGACAAGATGTGCTGTGGGGGAGGCCTTCACCAGTTGATTGACGAAGCTGTAAATTATTACAAATTTTATTGTTGGCTTGGCAAAGACTATGAAACTCATTACTGTTGCAAAACAACTGAAACTAAAGTTGGTTGTTTTTTCCCCATCGCTTTGCTTAATTATGCTAAACCTGGCGAAATGTTCGCTGAAACCTTTCCCATTTCCAAGACATCTGCAAGTTGCAGGGTGGGTCCCATAAATCTCAGAACGCGCGAGCGGTTCGGGGTAATTTTAATTAGAGACATACCGCCGTTGTTTTTCAAGACATCGTACTCACCGCAAAGAACTATAGTGATACGACCGTACTCTGACAGCTTGCGCCAAACTGTGTCATATGTCCCTGTTTGGGAGCCTTCGTACGTCTTCTGACTTGAAGACGTACCGATAAAGTTATTTTAGTTTAGTTTTTCTTCCGATTCCGTTCCGATGACGTAGGTGCACGTCATCACATAGGTGTGTACGTTTTCGGAATGGAATTATGAGAAAAACTCATGACATGTACGTTATCGGATTATAACCTGGGAGCCTTGAGCGGTGCTGCCTCAATTTTCCGTGATACAGACAAGAGGAGCACACCGATCCCCCTGGCTGCCTCCTTGAACTCCTCTACAGATGGTCACAAAATCAAATTGAGTGATGATTCCATTTAGGCAAGGTGCAAACAACTCAAAATCCAGTCGCATTGTCCTGGGCCATTCTGTAGCCTCCGAAGTCAGCAGTGTTCACATTGAGAAGACGGACCTCCCTCCAGGAGTCCAAAATAGAGCAGAACAGCCATATAGCATCTGTACAGCATCCTGCGTGCCACTGAGACCCACAGTTCATGAGCCGAGATGAGATGTATATCACTTGTACCACGAACTTGAGTGGCTCCTATTTATTTGTGCTAAATAACAGTAAATTATGTGAGAACCATTTGACATGAGTGGGCTCATCAAATTAATTCACCAATTCACCTTATTAAATTGGTAAGACGTGGTTAGGTGGTACCAATTTCTGCTCTGGCCTTAATAGTCTCATATCGAGGACTCAAACGTTATAGTAAAGAGCTATAGAACTCGCTCAAGGACCCAATAATAGACTTCCTTGTGCAGGTCCACAGCAAGTTCCTGTAACTGTGAAACCAGTGAATTTGTTCATTAGTCGACAGCTTGTGGCCATGACCGAAGCGGTTATCCGCTGCTACTCGATGGGGGGGGACACACAGCTGCATTGTCGCCCGCGAAACCGCAGTCAACTATGCGACTCTCAAACCGTTGCAAACATAAAAGAGATGGAAAAGGTGGCATGACCGCAGCCAACCCAGCACACAAATCCACGCCTACAGTGTAGACAGATGTTCGCCCGCAAACTACACGCGCTGTGTTTGTACCCGCACAGAGCACACAGCTCACACGTGGGTGCCCACCGCGCCCTTGGGTGGCTACCACACCAGGTTCCTCGGTTCGACTTGTAAAATACTGTTGATGCTGCGTTGGTGGCGGGTGCACAAGCACAAATAACAAAACACTTGACACATTCTGAGACATCTCCTTTACCAGTGGCAAAATATAGTAGTAGGTTTTTACCCTTTCAACTGGTACAAAAACCGACACCTTTATACAAGGCATCATGTTTGCAATAACCACAACACAAGCAGTCAAAATGCAAACAAAAAGTTGTTTCTTTTTGTTTGCATTTTGACTGCTTGTGTTGTGGTTATTGCAAACACGATGCCTTGTATAAAAGTGTCAGTTTCTGTACCAGTTGAAAGGGTAAAAACCTACTACTATACTTGAAACATGGCAAAAGGGCCGTTATAGCACATTTTTACGTGCTTGTAATAAGGACCATTGCTTTTAACGCAGTGTTGACGAATATTTTGAGATTGTTTTTGTCCGTCTAATACAACTCTGGGATGCATTTGCGTGTGGTCGCGTGATTCTCTATTGTAATTACAAATATATAACCCCCAGTGCGGCGACTGCTGAACCAATTTCAAACCACGGGCCGCATAGCTTGCTGCCACTGCAGCAATTGAGGGTTTTTACCAGGCCACTCCTGAAGCCTGGCTCGCTAGCCAACTACGACGTGAACCTTCAAACGTCGCCGATCAATCCCTCGCCTTAAGAGGAATGCCCTTCTGCAGACTGGTGGCACGTAGAGCTGCGTTTGTGCATCATCAGCAGGCCAAGTTGTTTTGAAAAAAGTCAGCTGTTTGTAAATAACATTATTGGCCAATGCAGCAGACTTTGAGAGTCGCGCGCTTTCAGATGTGCTTCTGCGGCCGTCTGGAACGCTCTTCCAATATTCGGAATCCACTCGAGCTATGCACTTTTAAATCGAGATTGAGACCTCATTTCTTTAGAACTTTGTGTGTTTTTGTTGTCCTTCCCCCGCACCTCCCATGAGCACGGTTGGCTACGTACGGTGTGAAAGAAGTCCAGCATACAGTACATACGTGCGTTGAAGCAAGGGTGGACGACGGCCGGTGGTCAGGATTCACGACGGAGTGGCAGCCAAGGAATGGAACGTTCCAGAGGACGTCCACCACATTCATTCATCGCGCATAGTCTCCTGAAGGAGCGTTGCGCCAAACGTGTGACCTCTTGCGAATAGCATTCTCATAAACTGCTCTTGGCTGCCATACACCGGTGTCTCGAGTTATTTGTTTGACCCACGGATCACGGTTGGGGGCGACGGCGCTATTCATTTTAGGGTCTCAGTCCACCTCGGACGTTGATCGCCGACTAAAGTGAGCGCAATTTGTCGAAGTTTGCGCCTCCAGACGGGCGCGACGCGTCCACAAAGTGACGGCCGTCTCCCTCGGTCTTAAGCTCTCGATCGTCCACCACGGAGATGGGCAGATGAAGTCGGTCCCTGTGCAAGGTGCTGGATGGAGAGTTGTCTTACGGCAGCCCGAGTGGCTTTCGGTCGGCTTGGGGGGGTGGGGGGGAGGCCTTTGTCCAGCTGTGGATAGTTGACGGCTGGTGATGAGAAAGACTCCAGACTGGCTTGATCATGGTATTGTCAGATGAAGGGAGAATGTCAACTTGCATAACGCGCCTCAGCAGAGAATTCGCCCTCGGAGGTGCAAGGAACCACAGACAAGTGGTAAAGGCAGCAGCAGCAGCAACAGCAGCCAGGCAGAGCTGGTGCCAAATTGCCCTCCCTCCCCCCAAGTTCTGCAGTCCTCTATTCAGGGTGCTTCAATTTTTTTTAACACTTACATGGGACTATCTTTTTTGTGGAAAAAGAACGGATAGTACACTGCGACATGATAACAAATATTAATAGCTTGAAAAGGTTAAAAGAGCCTCCACTTGTTCGCCGTCATTGTCAACGCGTGCCTGGAATCTTCTCCAGGTGGTCTCCAGAGCTCGGAGGCACAAACATTTCTTGTGGTTAGATTTCGATTTAAAGCTTTCGTGACTGCAGGGATTCATCTTCTTGGTTCTTTCGGTAAAGTCACGTAGAAGGGAAGTAATAAAGTAATAAAATAAAACATAATAAAATAATTCTCACGACGTTTCGGCCACAACGCAAGTAGCCGTCCTCAGGTGGAGAACAGGTCTGTCAAGTAGACTCTGTCTGACTCTGTCTACTTGACGGACCTGTTCTCCACCTGAGGACGGCTGCTTGCGTTGTGGCCGAAACGTCGTGAGAATTATTTATTATGTTTTATTTTTATTATTTATTACTTCCCTTCTACGTGACTTTACCGAAAGAACCAAGAAGATTTCTTGTGGTTTTGTTGCAAATTGTCAGAAGTGTCGACATTTTTTTGAAGCGCCCTGTACATGAAGGTGTTTTCTTGGCCAATTAATGAGTTTACACGTGGGAGGAAATGGGATCACCCTGAGAAAATCCGCACCATGCGAGGGCGAAAACGCGATCTCACGTCGATGTCCATAGCACCTCGACGGGAATCAATGTCCTCTGTTCCGGCGCTTTGCAGCTTAGGTCCTGGGCTACGAGGTAGATCACACGGCCCTGGGATGTTGTAGCTCGGAGGTAGCAACCCGACCCGTTTCTAGTCTCCGAGTGCCATTCAGTGATGTTGCTCCACGGACCCTGACTCCTGCCTCTCTTAGGAATGAGCCAAGAGTCATTGCATCTTCGTGTTGCCGCAGCGCTGCACGGAAACAGGGGTCCGGGAGCCCTTGCAGCCCAGTGTTCGCTGTCGAGCAGCAGGAGGAGGAGGGGAGGGGGCGAGAGAGAGAGAGAGAGAGCGAGGGCGCGGCTGTAGATCTGCAAAGAAAGAAGTTAAGGGTAGAGAGAGAGAGAGGATGAGAAATAGGCGTGACATGAAGAGAGGCGCGAAGGGGGAGATTGTGAAGGAGATCGGTGGGCAGCGGGCGGTGTGGGGGGGGGGGGTGTTGAACCGGGCCGTATCAAAGCGGGCGGCTCGTGTTTACCGAAGCTGGGCAAACATTTTGCGATGGGACGAGGCTGAGGAAGAGGAGGAGGAGGAGAGGAAACAGGCACCACCCTCCCCCCCACACACACACACCCGCCCCCCACTTTATTAATAAATGCGACGGAGTACAAGGAGGGCCGCGAGACGCGAAGGGGCAGCCGAGGCGAGGGAAGATCGGCTCGCAGAGTGACCGCATCTTCCCTAGGGCAGCGTCACCACCGGTATCACAATCACATCGCCTTCGCCACTCATCACTGCCTTCACTCATTTAGCGTCGTCGTCGTCGTCATCATCGATGTCGCCGTCACCATAACGCAGCATTCATCCCTTATCATCATTGCACATCGTTAACCATCGTCATCATCGCGTCTCCGATTTTTTTTACAGCATCATCATCATTACCCACCATCATTCATCATCAGCAACCCCCTACATTTTCAGCATCATCGTCACTGCCCTCGTTATTAACTGCCCATCACAATCGCTCCCATAACTCTCTCTCTCTCGATGATGATGATGATTTTGTAACTGGGGAGAAAGTCTTGGCAAAGCGTTGCTCGAGTAACTTTGTTCCCGTTATTTTTTGTTTTGTTCCGATGGTTGTGGCCACGTTCGACTGAGGTGGAGGACTTGAAAGGAACGGAGAAGAAGGGGAGAAAAAAAACAACCCGCGACAACATTGGAGCGCCTGTCGACCCGTGTGTAGCTTCGCTTAAAAATTAAAATCACGCAAACAGCGAGAGACTCACAACTTGGGCCCAGGTCAACAGCACACACACACACACGTACACACATACAAAGAGAAACGAATCTAAAAGTTAGTTCCGATCATTTGATTGATCAAGTACAGCATCGGCACAGACGAGCGGACGCATATGGACCTCGTGAGCTGCAGTTCAACTCCAGCAGTGGAGAAGTGACCTTCATCATCATCATCACAGCCACCAGCCACCACCATCATCATCAACACCAAGGGAGGCATCCTCCACCCACACACCCATCCCGGATCATGGCTCCGGCTGAAGTCCCCGGTGCTCCGTTGTTGGTGCTGCTGGTCGCCCTGTGTTGCCTGGGCCCTCTCGGAACGACAGCCAAGGGACACTTCGGCTCCCCGTACCGAATGAGCCTCTACTCCGCGCCGTCCCCTCCCGTGCGTTCCCCTCCCCGACACAGGTGAGTGAGCGACGCGGCGAGACATTGTTAGCTTTGCTCTGGTCTGGCCTCGCTGGTGGCGGGGGACCAGTGGTGAAACGAAAACTTTCGAGTTAAAGCTTTCGTGACTGCAGCCGTCTGCTTGCGTTGTGTCCGAAACGTCGTGAGAATTATTTTATTGTTTTATTTTTATTTTTTTATTTTTTTCCTTCTACGTGACTTCACCGAAAGAACCAAGAAGATAAAACTTTCGAGTTAAAGCTTTCGTGACTGCAGGGGATTCATATTCTTGGTTCTTTCGGTAAAGTCACGTAGAAGGGGAGAAAAAACACTTTTTTCAAAATTTTCTTGCTGTGGTTTTCACACCTGATGATGATTGCTTGTGTTGCAATCGAAACGTCGTGAGAATTTAATTGTTTTATTTGTAGTATTTAATTGTTTTTTTTTTCACTTCTACGTGACTTTACCGAAAGAACCAGGAATACGAAACTAAAACTCTAAAAACTAATTATATTTTATTTGACAAGGTCAATATCGATAGCTCGTTTTCAGAATCGACCTGGCCGCAAATTGTTGCTCAAAAAAAGCGGTTTATGTGGACCATTACTAGCAGCCAAATACTCGAAACGCGTGTTTCTAAACGGAGAGGGGAAACGATTGGAGGACACGGAGAGAAATCCACGCGACCACGGGGGAGAACTTTCAAACTCCAAATATTATACAGCAGGCGTCAGGGTAGGGTTCGAACCCACGTTCCTCCTTGCAATGCCAGGCGTGGTAATTAGCATCTCGCCACCGTGTCGAGCGGGCACCTTCATGCGTTTCGCGCATTTGGCTCGTGGTGGTGCAGCACGTGGGATGATGGAGTGGAGACGATTTCGTGGGCATCCCCCGAACTCTACCACCGAGACTGGCTGTGAGCGTTGCTTTATACTCAGTCGCAATGCAAAGCTGTTACACGCTATATGCGCCCGATGATTGCGCTCACCGGGTGATTACGCACCACTTTTAAAGCTAAAATTGGCGGTGCATATTTCATCCGGTGGGTGTCTGTGTGTGTGTGTGTGAGGAGCGGTAGTGTAGCGGTTAGCGCTCTGCGCTATGAACCCGGCGACACGGGTTCGTTTCCCGCTCATGGCCAACACCGGTGACGATTATGTGAACCGGTCCTGGGCCTCCCCTAGGTCGACTCAGCCTCAAATGAGTACCTGGTGCAGTGTGTAAAGCATCGCCACTAGGGAGACAAAGGCGGTTGGGCGTGGTGCTGGCCACCCACCCCCTCGTGTGCCGTGCCGGTCTTCATAGCTGCTCGCTAAGAGGATTTACCCCAACAGTCTGTTAAGACAACACGGGGGATCTGTTGTTTGTGCGTGTCTCCGTGCGTGTCTCTGCGTTGCGTGTCCCGTTTGTGTGTATACCGCGCGTGTCGCGCAAATGCTTCGAAATCATCGACGCAGCCCTCGCGTCGAGCAATCATCAGGCGCGCGTAGCGCGTAACAACTTAAGCTGGTCAACTCGGAAAGTCACAATGACCGTAGCGGATCACATGAGTCGGCGTGTTGGAGAGATCCTGCCGAAACCGGGTGCATCGATACATTCATTAATACTCATTATTAACATGATTTATATCAACTCTGCCTGCGTATGCGTCCCAGTGACACGGGGAGGGGTGGCGCAGTGGTTAGCGCACTCCAGCTACGAATTCGACGATTTTATCCGAACTGGGCGCTCCAGCCTTGAATGAGGTGCTGTCTGTAACAGTTCCCGGTGCGGTGTGTAGACATCAGAATTGGGGAAGACAAAGACGGGCAGGGGCGCGGTGTTGGCCACCCCCTGTACCCGTTCATGTCAGAATCAGAATGAGTATTTAGACTGGAGGAATCCGATGTGTCGTGTAGACCTTCAAAAGGCCCTCGCTAACAGCACTTGCTCCAAGTTTTACTCAAGACAATTCCGGTCTTTGTTCTGTCACTCGTGACCTCGAGATCGCTCTTAATTAGATAACAAAACATCAATTTTCGGGTCAGTGTGGAGAATATCATTCACACAATTTCAGACAATGGGTCTATAGATCTCTAGCGAATATCTGTCCCTGCGCATACGTCTTCTTCTTCTTAGAAGTATTTAAGCAAGCCTGGCTGAGATTACAGCACTGTATTCAAGCGAGCCAGACTGCTTAAATGTTGAAACGGGTCCAGAGTTTCTGCTCGAGTTGCTGAAATTATAGCCACTCTCAAAAGTGGCGTGTGGCTGGTGGAAATGCGTAAAATATAGGTTTTCTTTTTGTGTGTGTATTGAGGAGCAGGTATAGATATATAAAAGGGATACAGTACTGTACTATTGAATTACCTGCTCGGTTTATTTTGTTCGATTAGATTCGGCGCCCCTCCCCCCCTCCCCTACGTCGCGCGCCTCCTCAAGCATCGGGCGCGTGCGGTGTGTGTTGTTTCCCTCGTTTGTAACGGAGCGGGTAATACGGTATTGGCAAACGTGTAACTGTGGACCTGTGGTGGGGCCGCGGAGACTGGGAGGCGTGGGAAACCCCTCTGCTGTGTGATGGCCCCCAAAAAATACACACCCAAGAGTTTATGCGCCAACGTTGGCGCATGGTTGGAGACATTTTGAGCCCTACGGTTCCAGCTTCACTGCGGCCGTTGACCCTGCTGTGTAAGTCAAAGGCGTGTTATTGACGAATGTGTCGAGTGGATTTTTTTGTTCGCTATTTTCTGCCCTGTCTTGTGTTACTGTGTTCAGTTTATAACAAAATGAAGTAACCCTGGCTACCGCCATTGGAACCTCCTTTGCCAGTAGCAAAATATGATAATTTGGTTTTTTACCCTTTTATCTGGCAACAAAACTGACACCTTTTTTACAAGGAGTCATGTTTGCATTGACCACAATACCTGCGGTCGGAATGCAAACAAAAAACACAACTCTGATAATGTATGCACTGTCCTTGAAATTGATTGGTCCACACCCGAGACAGGTTTTCTTAGAGCCTAGTCTCACATGGTGTTGGACCAGATGACGCCTTTTGGTATTGTGGTCAATGCAAACATGACTCTTTGTAAAAAAGGTGTCAGTTTTGTTGCCAGATAAAAGGGTAAAAAAACAATTATTATAACCCTGGCTACTCACTGCATAACACTGTTCGGAGCAAGTGCCGTTAGCGAGCCACCTATTTCTGTGCTGCATATATAGAAGACTGGCGGTCACAAACTCCAATCAACTACGTAGCTCTTGTCGATACGATTTGCCTCGGCTGCGTGCCCCCTGGCCCGTCTTTGTCTTTATGCAAGATTGAGGATTGGTTCATGAGATAAATTAAATTGGCCACCGTCATGGCGCTCACATGGGCTCACTTCAACGTTACCTTCCGTACTTTTAATTTCAATGTCGGTGATGTTCATAATAACACTGTTTAGGTACAGTACTCGTTTGAGGCTGAGTAGACCTAAGAGAGACCCACACTGGAGTCTGAGTTTCAGTTTGGGTCAAGTTAGGTGAGGCCCTCACTGGTCCGATATTTCAGTCTGAATCAACCTAGGGGAGACCCACAACCACTCATACTTGGGGCGACTCAACAGCTCTACATTTCAGTCAGTCTAAGAGTTGCTTTTTACTGGTTCCACATTTCAGTCCGAGTCAACCTAGGTGGGGGGGGGGGTTGGCAACCCACACTGAGGTCTCATTTCAGGCTGAGCGGACCTGTGGGAGCAAAGACGTCATCTCTCCTCTCTCTACCCCCCTCCTCCTCCGTGTTGTGCGACTCCCCCCCCATCTCACCCCCTTCGTGTCGGGCGTTTCCCTCCGCAGGAACTGGTGCGCACACGTGGTGACCCGGACCATCTCGTGCGCCGTCATCAACGGCACCGACTCCTACGTGAAGGCCGAGCGTAGGCCCTGCTCCTGGCCCAAGGGCAAGTGCCAGCGGCCGCTCATGTGAGGATCGCACGGGCCCGGCCCCACGGGAACGGGCCACGGTTCGAATCTCCCGCTCGCGGCCGTCGGCTTTGCCACCGGTTTGAATTTCGGCGGGTTACTGTTGGTAAAGTGGGTAGGTGGTGCGATGGGTGATAAAGGTGGTCGCCCCTCAGCTACAAAAAGGAGGAAATGACCGGGGCGTTTCGTGGGAAGAGGAACGTCTCACAACACCAGTGGAGGGTTGAACTGCGTGTAATTGTTTTGTCTTGAGTGGTTCATTATTTTTGTTTTATTATTGGTGGCACATACCTCCAGATCAGCACTGTGGAGGCAAGGGTGGTGGGTCACGTAAATGTTGTGAAACTCCTTTCCCGTGGGCATCGAGGTGTCATACCCTGGCTCAACAGGAGAATACGGCACAGCAATTGTGGATTGCACCTTTCCATCTGTTTGGGATAGTGTTCTCCGGGTGCTCCACTTTCCACCCACGTGCAAAGACCCCTTAATAGTCTGGTAACACCTTTACATATTGAGGACCGCAGAGCTTGGAGAATTGTTTGCACCGGCTTATCGAGTGGCTGCTGCTGCTGCTGCCTTCCCATTTGTCATCTGGCTCCTCGTGCTTCTGATTCGGTCTCTCTCGACGAGAGCGAGTGAATACTGTGTGGTGGCGGCAGGAGCGCGTTACAAGTTTAAGTTATGATTATTATCAATTTTACTACGCAACTGACAGAAACGGATATCTTTAATGTTTTCGGAAGCCTTAGAGGTTTCCCAGGACAGCAGCTGTCTCAAAGAGAGGAAGATTCTGGAGAAAATCAGGACAGGTGGCAACCCTAGTCGGCGACCTCGGTAAAATATTTCCACTCCCAGAACACCACGTCCAGTATGCCTCTCGCTTTGTCTGGGGCTACGAGTCAATCGCCGCCTGCTCCACTCTCCCTGTGACCCGGAAATAAATAAATAAACATCCGGTGAGAAATGAATACCCTGGTGGGAAGTCAACCACTTGTGCGTGGTGACCAGACCCAGGGCTCAAACCCTGGTGCTTGGAGGTTGCTGGCTCAAGTGTCTCTGACACTGGCATCAAAACCGCACGCGACAGCCAGCTTAAGTAATTGAACCCTGACCCTCATGGGAGCTGGTTCAGTTTCCAGATATGAGCCGGAGCCCTCTAGAGCGCATCAGTATCTCAGAGCTTTTACCCAGACACTTCGAGGTTGCTGGGCCTACTGATTCTGAAATTGGCATCTGCTCTAGGAATAGAAGCCGGACATCAGAGGTGTTGGCCGAGTTTAGCGACAGCCATATCAGCCTGCCATGTGTAACGACACGCGTGTAACGAAGCACGCGTATCGGCTCTTGTTTAACGACGCGCGTATTGTTACACGCGTGTAACAACACGTGTGTAACAACACGTGTGTAATGACGCGTTGGCTGTCGGCACTCACGATCCTGTAAGTATCGATGGCTGTATTGGTGGTTCGCGCACGTGGCACGTCGCGCTCGTGTGTCACTTCAGGCCTGTGGAGTTAACGAAACTGCAAAGAGAGGAAAAAACATGAGAAACGATCCAGCGATTAATAAACAAAATTATAAATTATTGAATCGCATCGCAATTCCATTGGATCGCAAGGAGGGAACAATTATTAAAATGCCCAGTCGCAGTGCCCGAGGAGACACATTTCCAGGAATTGACCCTAGACACCCAAAAGGTTCTGAGTGAATCACCAAATGTTTTAATGTTAGCCCCCGAGGAGATGTAGTTACAAGAATTGAACGCAGGCACTCGGACAGGCTGGCTCGGTATTCTGTCGCGAGATAAAGATTCCTAGGAGAGACAAGCAGCCCCAGGGCTTAGATGTCTAATGTCAGCCTCCGTGGTGTCGTCCAGTTCCAGGTGTTGAACCCAGGTACTCAGAGGTTCTGGGAGAATTATTAAATGCCCACTACAGTATTAGCCCCGATTTAAAGCTTTCGTGACTGCAGGGATTCATCTTCCTGGTTCTTTCGGTAAAGTCACGTAGAATGGAAATAATAAAATAATAAAAATAAAACATGATAAAATAATTCTCACTATTATTTTCACTATTATTTTATTATGTTTTATTTTTATTAGTTTATTATTTCCATTCTACGTGACTTTACCGAAAGAACCAAGAAGAAAAAAGGAGTATTAGCCCCCTCGGGGACTGATCTATGAATTGACCCCAGAACCTCAGAGGTGCTGGCTCTGTATCCTAACATGGGTGACAACCTCCTTCCTGGCAAGACACCGGGGCCCCAGGGCTCCAACCCAGACACTCACAGTTTGTTGCCTCCGCTGTCCTCATGCGAGCGACAACCTCACAGTAGCCACTGGTTCAGCGGATAAACCCCACCCCCCGCCCCACCGCCCCCGCCGCTTGCCCGTGTCGCCGCAGGTACCGCACGTACCTACGCCCGCACTACAAGCTGGGCTACAAGACGGTGAGCGAGATCGAGTGGCGCTGCTGCCCGGGATTCGGCGGGGACAGCTGCCTCGACCGCGTCGGGGGAGGGGCCCCCCCCCCATCGGGTTCAGGTGAGCAGCCCTGAGCCAGACTCCAACACAAAGCGTGGCCCCCCTCACTCCGACCAGTAACCCAACCGTTTCCCTAAAGCTGCCCCTTGACGCTAACCCTAATACTTGCCTTTGAACCTAACCGTGGCCCTATTCTAAACCAGAATGTATCCTTTAATCTGACCAGTAATACAGCCCCTATCGTAACCCCTATCTTGGATTATAACCCTGATCTGAACCCCAAATCTGACCTCAATAGTGACAATGGCCCAAACCCTGACTCTAACCCAGAACATCACCCTGACCCTGACCTATAACCTGACTCTTATCGCCAACGATGAACCAACGTACAAATCTTAATTTAGGAGCTTTCGTGACTGCAGGAATTATTCTTTGGTTCTTTTCGGTTAAGTCACGTCTAAAAATAAAATAATAAATTAAAATAACATATGACGTTTCGATTGCAACACAAGCAATCATCATCAGGCATAAAAGAAATAGCAACAAAAATCTAACTAGAAAACTATAGACAGACATACAAGCAGACAGACATCACAACGGCACACAGAGAGAGGACACAATTCTCTGTGTGCCGTTGTGATGTCTGTCTGCTTGTATGTCTGTCTATAGTTTTCTAGTTAGATTTTTGTTGCTATTTCTTTTATGCCTGATGATGATTGCTTGTGTTGCAATCGAAACGTCATATGTTATTTTAATGTATTATTTTATTTTTAGACGTGACTTAACCGAAAAGAACCAAAGAACAACGTACAAATATTCTCACCATTCACAGTACACAACACTGACAGAATAACACAACAGCACGCACACAATGACGTAGATTACAGTGTTGACACGAACCCGAATCTCAACCCCCCAATTGTAATTCTAACCCTAACCATGTGCACGTGTGTATCTGCCTGCATGCGCGGCACGTGCGCGTATACGCATGTGCCAAACGTGTGTCTTCATTCCGATGCGTGCGAATTCATGAGCTCCATGTGAGCCCATCTGCCTCCCTCCCTCCATCGTTCCTCCTCCCTCTCCCTCTCTCTTTTCCCCCTCCTCCCCCGCTCTCCCTCCCAGTGCCTGGAGCCGGCTTCGTCAAAGGCGTCCCCACCGGTGGGGGGCCTTTCAAAGTGGGGGGCCCAGCCTCGAAGGTGCCGGGGGCCATGGTGCCAGGGCCCCCCCCGGGCGGGGCTCAGGGTGACCCAACCAAACCGGGCTTCAAGCCCAAGTATCCCCCGAAAAGTACGCACTCGTCCCACGCCCGTGCGTCGCGCGCACGGCGCATTTTCCCCACACGTGTTCCCGCACGCATCCAATATCCCCGTGCGCCGGGTTGTCATCGGCCGCTGCGGGACCGTGCTTACACTGCGGTCAGCAGAGTGCAGTGCAGAAGAATCAATTGCTGCGGTGTTCTCTCGCGCTCCCGCGTCTATGCTGGAAGCCGTCGCCAACCGGCAATTGACCGGCATGGGTGAAGTGTGGTGAAAGTATCTGTCAAAACCTGCATGGTGGTGGGAAGGACTTCATGGGTGCTCGCGAACAGCACTTGATCTTAAAGCCTGTTAAGGCTATACGGGTAGTCTTTGTCTTTATACAAACACGAGTTGGTCGAGTGGCACAGGGGTCAGAAGTGCTGAGCTGACACCGCGGTGACAAGATGTTAGCTCCCTCGCCTCGTATACAGGAGGTTGCGGGTTCCATCCTGACCCTGAAGATGCCTGTCTTTTTCTGGAATGTGCGTGTTCTCTCTCCCCACGGTCGAGTGGATTTTTCCACGGGTCCTCCGGTTTCCCCCAACCCCCCCCCCCCCCCCCCCACATGTAAGACTCAACATGCATTGAGAGTATTTGTCTGCGATAAATTTCCACACGATAAGCCACTTTGTTGAGCTATCATTTGTGGCCAGGTCGCTTCTGATAAGGAGCTACATAGCTCAGTGGGGCCTTACCTGGTAAAATAAAAAAAGTTTTTTTCAAAAATCTGCTGTTCGTATTGTGACAAAACGAGACGGTAAAAATCACATAATTCTTGAATAGAGTTTCAAGTTGGTTTTTGTTTCAACTGGGTGAAAACTACGGAGGCAAGGAGAGTCTCATTTTCAAGAAGGCCCTGGGTTGTCGACGATTCATTGGTTGTTGTCGCTGTCGCTGTAGCTGGTACCCGGTGTACATCAGTGTAATGCACGGCGCAAGGGCCAACGTGTGTGTCCAGATCCCCACTTTCTTAAAATACGTGGCGTTTATTCGAATAATAGTTGCTTGGAAAGCCAATAGCATGAATCGAAATGTACGCGCCCTTCAAAAGATGTAATCGCAGAAATTTTCAACAAAAATCATATCTCTATTTGCATTTCAGCAAATGAATACATTTGGGACACAGTGAAATTGTGTTTTAAGTAGAAATTAGCTTCATGTGCAATCGCCAGCAGTGGCCGTTACAGAGAAATAAATCCGTTTGGGAAAACGGAAACATTTCCTCATCAGGGGTTGCATATGTAAGTGAGTCCAACTGAGTCACAGACATTGTCTTGGGATGCAACACTATTTATTACATCAACTCCACACACAACATAACGTCACCTACACTCGGGTGTTGAACGCCCATCTAACCACACTTCGGCAGAACTAGACACGAGCTGGGTCCCGGACCGCGTGGCTGGAGGCTTCTTCAAGATTTTGCCGAGGTCTGAGTGGTGGTGAGAAGTTATCTCGGTCTGAACTTGTCGCCTGTTTATTGAGGGTTTTCTCTGGGTCCTCCAGTTTTACCCTCCACATTTAGAATTAACATGCCAAATACTTTGTCTTGAGTGGTTCATATTGCATGATGAAGATACCCACTGGACACAGTGGCGAGATGCTAACTACCTCACCTGGTATCCAGGAGGTCATGGGTTTGATCCCGACTCTGATGCCTGTATATTTGGAGTTTGCATGTTCTCCCCGTGGTCACGTGGATTTTTCTCTGTGTCCTCCAGTTTTTCCCCTCTACATTTAGAAACATGCGTTGAGAGTACTTGACGGCTATACATTTCCGCACGACAAGCCTCTTCGTTGAGCTATCGTTTGTGGCCAGGTCGCCTCTGAACAAGAGCTATGTAATAATTGTTTTTTTACCCTTCTATCTGGCAACAAAACTGACACCTTTTTTACAAGGAGTCATGTTTACATAGACCACAATACCTGCAGTCATAATGCAAACAAAAAACAAAACTCTGATAATGTGCACTGTCCTTGAAGTTGATTGGTCCACACCTGAGACAGCTTTCCTTAGAGCCTAGTCTCACATGGCATTTTGGCGTCATCTGGTCCAACCCATGTGAGACTAGGCTCTAAGGAAAGCTGTCTCGGGTGTGGACCAATCAACTTCAAGGACAGTGCACATTATCAGAGTTATGTTTTTTGTTTGCATTATGACTGCAGGTATTGTGGTCTATGTAAACATGACTCCTTGTAAAAAAAAGGTGTCAGTTTTATTGCCAGATAGAAGGGTCAAAAACAATTATCATATTTTTACTGGCAAATGAGGTTCCAATGGTGTAAAGAGCTATGTAGCTCAGCGGACCTTACTCGGAAAATAATAAAAGTTTAGGTCCGTTTAGTCCGGCGGCACCGGCGGTTACGGCCACGGCGAACATCTCAATGTTGACCTTGGCCCTCGTCCCAACAGGCGGCAGGCCCCTCATGGACATCTACGGTGAGCGCATCGATCGGCTGGAGGAGGCAGTGCGGCGCGTGACGCTGGTGCTCGAGCAGACGCAGGGCTCGCTGGTGGGCATGACGGACGGCCTGCGTGCCTCCCTGCACGCGGACGCGCGCCACATGATCCAAGCGCTCATGGGTGGCGTGGTGCACGAGCATGGCGCCGGCCCTCCCCATGGCGAGGCGCCCGACTCCGTCGTGGGCTTCGAGGCCGTGCCTCCCGACCACCGTCACGAGATCGTGCCCGGCGGAGACAAGACTCCTGGGATGTATGCCGAGGTACAGAGACGTAATGGAGGGAGGCGGTGGGGGGGGTGGTAATGTATGTATGTTGCACTTCTTTTCCACCGTCTGTCTCCAAACGTGATTTTTGGAGGTGCAGGCGTCTAAACAAATGAGTTCTCAATCTAGATGATGATTTAAAACTGCACGGCTCCAGTGGCTTCCTAATATCGGAAGGACGAGCGTTCCAGACAGCCGCGGAAGCGCATCTGAAAGCGCGCGATGCAGTGACCGTCTTTGTTCGATTTGTTAGCCAAAAGCCGCTGCTGGGATGACCGGAGTTTGCGCCTCCGATTAGCACGGTTGGCTACGTACGGTGCGAAAGAAGTTCAACGTACATCCAGTATAAGAATAAGCTACAATAGTGCAGTGCAGTGCTCGTAAGAGGGGCCACAGAGATCTGGGCCTATTAGTGTGTGTGTGCGTATTTTTGTTTTCTGTTATATGCCAATTCATTATTCAGGAATGCGGCGGTGGCTATGCGCGTTGCCGAGATCAGAAAGGTATTGTGGTTCATTCGTGGCAAGCACTTTGCGTGCGATGAGTGCGACCTTCTAAAAATGCATCGTTCGGCAACCGGAAGCCAATGCAGCTTGGCAAGCACTGGACACCGGGTGAGAGGGGGGGTAGGGGCCCGGTGCTGGCCACCCAACCGCTACTCGTGTGCCGTGTCGCCGGAACTTAATGGGTGCCAGATTTGAGCTTTCGTGACTGCAAGGATTCATATTCTTAGGTTTTTTCGGTGAAGTCACGTAGGTGAAAAATAAAAATTAATAAAAGTTAAATAAATATAAAATAAAAATCACGACGTTTCGGAGGCAACAATGTGACTTTACCGAAAAAAATCTAAGAATATTCATGGGTGCCAGATTTGAAGCTTTCGTGACTGCAAGGATTCATATTCTTAGGTTTTTTCGGTGAAGTCACGTAGGTGAAAAATTAAAATTAATAAAAGTCAAATAAATATTAAATAAAAATCACGACATTTCGGAGGCAACACCGTGCCTTTACCGAAAAAAAACCTAAGAATATTCACGGGTGCCACTCGCTCACAGGGCTAGCCGCGTCTTGCGCCTGCGCGTTTTTCCCCCAGCCGTACCCGGACGTCATGGCGAAGGTGGTGGCGCTGCGGGAGGAGCTGCGGGAGCGCGACCGCGCGCTGGCCGAGTTGCAGGCCACCGTGGCCGGGCAGGCGCAGCAGATCCAGCGCCTGGCCGACAGGATCCCCCATCACCCGCCTGCCCCTCCGCCGCAGCAGCAGTTCCCCCACCCCGACCTTGCCGTGCTTGACTCCCTGCTGGGCGACCGTATCCTGCAGCTCAAGGGTGAGGGCCCTCGGCCGCTCGTTCGAGGGTTCGAGGCGCCGCGTTTCCCCCGGGAGGCTCTAACCCTCTGTCCGCCTCGCGTGCTCTTTCTGTTTTGCGTCGCGACGCTCGCTTTGTGTGCAGCATCGTTGAGGTGCGGTCGGTATCGAGGCGCTTTGTACATTGCGCCGGGCCGCACCGAAGGAAGCACCTTCCCTCCTCCTTCCTGCCTTTGAGAGCCGTGGTCGTCGCGAGTCAGGAAAACCGGCATTTTAAATCTCAGAGCCGGAATAACATTTATTTGATAAAATAGCAGTCCACACGTCCTTTGTCAAGTCAATTTTCTTTTTGTTTACGTACGTGGCGCCTGTCTGGCACAAATATGCCACTCAAGTCTCACATTCATGCTCTCTCCAACCAGCCAGCGAGCCTTTTAACTTTATATAGTGTCATAAAACATTTGTATTGATTCAAGAAAAAAACGCCACTTTTTTCAAAAAATTTCTTACTGTGGTTTTCACACCTAATGATGATTGCTTGTGCTGCAATCGAAACGTCGTGAGCATTTAATAGTTTTATTTTTATTATTTTTTTATTTTTATTATTTCCCTTCTACGTGACTTTACCGAAAGAAGCAAGAATATGAATCCCTGCAGTCACGAAAGCTTTAAATCGAAATCATTCACGAGCGAATGTATCTTCTTCTCTCTGTCCACTCGTCCGACAGGCGAAATCTTCAACGGCGTGGACGAGCGCATGAACGGTCACGGCGGCGGCGGCGGCCACGGCGGTGGCCACGGCCTGTGCTCGTGCGACTCGCAGCTGGCGCTGCTGGAGCAGCGGGCGCAGCGGGCGCAGCTGGCGCTGCAGGAGCACGTGAACGCGACGCTCTCCGCCTTCCACGGCGAGCTGCAGGGCGTTCGCACCGACGCGGACGGCGCCGCCGCCTGCTGCGCCGGCGCCGCCGCCACGCTCGACGGACGGCTCGCCGACCTCGAGAGAGGGGTGCGGAGAAAACAACACGACCACCACCGGGGGAGGGCGGGAAGGCGTTTTTCTCGGCATCGAGATATCGAGAGATAAGGCGGCCGCGCAGGTCGGCACGGCGTGTTTCGCCCGCTACTTTTAGGGTTAGATTTGAAGCGTTCGTGACTGCAAGGATTCGTACTCTTAGGTTTTTTTGGTAAAGTCACGTAGGTAAAAAATAAAATAAAAAATTAATAAAAGTAATAATATAATAAAAGTAATAATATAAATTATTACTTTTAAAAAATTTTAAATTTTATTTTTTCCTACGTGACTTTACCGAAAAAACCTAAGAGTACTTTTAGGGTCTTCCTTTTAGTTTGGAGCCTCGGGCATTTACGACTCGGGGAACTTGCAGTGACCGACACTTCTTAACGACGCTGCTTTTGAAGTGGTGTTTAATTCAATACTCTTGGTTTTTTGGTCGTAGCATCAGTCTCATGATCGTGTCTTTGCACACACGGGCACTCGGTGTGTGCTTGAAGCGCCTCGCTTCCCCGCTGCGCACAGGGTGGCCTGGAGAAGGCAGAAGCACAGCAAGTAGGTTTGTGCACCCACCTCTGCGGACCTTCGAGTGTTGTCTGCCGACCGTGCTCCCTTCTGAGACCACGACGGTGGACGTACATTTCTCTAACCCCTCCCTCTCTCCCCGCCCCCGCCCCCCCTTTCTCTATTTAAGGCCTCGACACAGAGGCATAGTTTCTCTTTGTGCCTATGTTTGTTCTCTCTCTATGTATCTCTGCGATATCTGCCTGCTTATATGTCTGTCTATGTTTCTGGTTCTGTGTTTAATCTCTCTCTCAAATTTAGCATTCTCAGGAAGAACGTAATCAACCAGATAGGGTGTTGACTGTTATGTATACTTAGACATTACATGTCTAAGTATACTAGATTTGTGTTTCTAATTCATTTATACCTGATGATGATTGCTTGTGTTGCAATCGAAACGTCGTATGCTAGTATTTAATTTATTATTTTATCTTTATACGTGACTTTACCGAAAGAACCAAAGAATAATTCCTGCAGTCACGAAAGCTCCAAATTAAGTTTGGACGTACATGTGTCGGCGACGGCGTTTCTAACCGCGATCCCCCTGCCCGCAGGTGCTGGGCGGCCCCGGCGTCATCGCGGGCGCCGTCATCACGGGGGAGGTGGTGGCGCTGGACGCCCGTCTCGACGGGCTGGAGGCGCGGATCAACGCGTCCGACACGTGCCTGCCAGAGCGCTGCTCCCACCTGCGGGACTTCCTCTCCGGCCTCGTGGCGGGCGAGGCGGCCGACCTCAAGTCCCAGCTCGAGCGGACGACGCTCAGCCTGGAAGTTCGCATCGCCGACGCCGCGCGGCAACAGCAGCCTCCTGGCGGCGGCGGCGGCAGCGGTACTGGCGTCGGCGTCGTCGTGACGACCGAGGGGGCGGCCGCTAATGGAACGGACGCCGCCGTGCCCCAGGATGGCGGCTGCTGCACGGACGACAACCGCGTGGAGCACGTCCTGGCACGGCTGTCGGCGGTGGAGGTCGGCGTGGCGTCGCTCAATGCCAGCGTGCGGCGCTGGGAGCAACGCGGCGGGGGCGCCGGGGAGGACGCCGTCGAATACGGGGATTTTGGCGCCGTGCAGGGAGAGATCACGCTGCTCAAGCTCAACTTCAGCACCATCAACCGCACGCTGCGAGGCCTGCGCGACTCGGTGAGCCCGCCGCGGGAGCGAGGGAGCCGCTCGTGACGGTGGCGCCGCAGTTCAGGTTTCCACGGTCGCGCGGTTGCACGTTCCCCCCCTCCCCCCCTCCCTCGGTGTGTGGTCGGGTTTTGCTCCATGTGCTCGGAGCTTTGTGTTTTCGCCAGTTCGATCCCTGGCCTTGGCTAGAATCAGCGGCAAGTATTTATTGAACTGGTACTGGGGCCTTGCCTAGGTCCACTCAGCCTCAACTGACAACCAACTATGGCACGTCCCAAAACATCAGCTCGGGGGCAGCCGGGGCCTGGTTTCCTGGCCACATCCCCCCCTCTGCACGGCCTCCTGGCATTCCCCCAGTGCTCGCTAACGGCACTCGCCCCAACAGCGGGAGGGGGGCAACGTTAGTCTCTGGCTCTGTCTCGCAGGTGAGCGAGTACCGCGTGGAGAGCGCACGGCGCGTCAACGAGTCGGTGACGCAGGCGGAGCAGCGCCTCGATGGGGAGGTGCAGCAGGTGCGGCGGCTGCTGGGGGAGCAGGCGAGCCGGCTGGCGCGCGAGGACTGGCGCGTGCGGCGCCTGCAGGGCCAGCTTGGCCTGGTGGCGCAGCGCGTCGCCTCTGACGGGGCGACGCGCTGCAGGGAGGTACGCTGCAGCACCCCCCCCCCCACGTGCACCCCCCCCCGCCCCCCCCAGGACCCCCCCTCCCCTCACTGCCCTTATGTCGTGGGTCACATCGCACGAGCGCGCGGACCGTCCTAGGAAGGGGGCGATGCGTCATTCACGTGACACTTGGCTGAACCTCGTCAGACATTCATCGCTCATCCGATGCTCACGGCTCCACAATTCATGCAGCGAATGCAGGCAATACATTCTGTCATATACGCACACTTATACCGGGCAATCGTGTTCATACTCCGCACGACACTCGTTTGCAGGGCTCCCAGAAGAGCAGCCAGGGTTTGGCGGACGGCGGCTGCTTCAAGTCCGAGGGGGCGGCACCGGGAAAAAAGGAGACGCCGGCCGCGGCGGCTCTCAAGGAAGGCCCAGCCGTCCGGGACAGGGCCGCGATGATGCGGGCGGCGTCCGTGGAAGGGGCGGCGATGGGAGAGAGGGCGGCGATGGGAGAGAGGGCGGCGCTGGGCGAGGTGGCGGCGGCGGCGATGGGGGTGACGTCCGTGGAGGGCATGGTGGCGGGCGAGAGGGCGGTGACTTCGCGGCAGCAAGGGGCGACGCTCCGAGACGACAGGGCCATCAGAGCCAGGGCCGCAATGATGCGGGCGGCCTCTGTGGAGGGGGCGGCGATGGGAGAGAGGGCGGCGCCGGCGGAAAGGGCGGCGCCGGTGGAGCGGGCGGCGCCGGCGGTGGCGGCGCCGATAGCGACGGCCTCCGTGGACGGGGCCCCCTCGGTGGCTCGGGCGGCCTTCGTGGAGGGGGCGGCGCTCCCCGAGGAGCGGGCGGCGGGGCCGGCCGTCACGTCGGGCCCCAAGGTGCAGGCGGCCGCCCTGCTGGAGATGCGGCGCGAGGTGGCGGCCGTGCGGGAGGCCCTGGGCCGCCAGGGCGAGCGGCTGTGGGCCGGCGTCGAGGCCGTCAACGCCACGCTGAGGGCGCAGGCGGCTGACGTGGCCGCGCTGGAGGCCGCGGTGGATCACCGCGGGCCCACGACCTCGCCGCCCCTGCCCATGCCTGTCGCCGGTGAGTCGCTCGCCCGTGCGCCCAGCCGCTCAGGTGTTCAGTGGAATTTGGTGCGCAGAGATTAACATCTCTCTGTAATATATACGGCGTTGTTGTGTTTCCCGTGTTTATTCCAATTGGTGTCATGTCACGAGGTGACGTGATGAAGTATGCATGGCAGATATAATGGTGATGATGGAGCTGATGGTGGTGGTGATATTGGCGGTGATGGTGGTGACGGTGATGATGTTGGTGATGATGGTAGCTGTGATGGTGTGGTGATGGTAGTGACGGTGATGATGTTAGTGATGATGTTGGTGATGATAGTAGCTGTGATGGTGTGGTGATGGTGCAGGGTTCCCGGTGCACGAGTTCCACCGAGCTGCGTTCTCGGCGGCGTTGACTCGGTCATCGCCCCGGGGTCGCGTCGTCGCGTTCGACAAAACTTATGTGAATGACGGACAGCACTACGACCCAGACACAGGTGCGCGTGATACACTATACACTACATGACCACACTACGACCCAGACACAGGTGTGTGTGTGATACACTATACACTACACCACCACACTACGACCCAGACACAGGTGTGTGTGATACACTATACACTACACCACCACACTACGACCCAGACACAGATGCGTGCCATACACTATACACGACAACACCACATTACGACCCAGACACAGGTGTGTGTGATACACTATACACTACACCACCACATTACGACTCAGACACAGGTGCATGGGATACACTATACACTACACCACCACGCTACGACCCAGACACAGGTGCGTGCGATACACTATACACTACACGACCACACTACGACCCAGACACAGGTGAGCGCGATACACTATACACTACATGACCACACTACGACCTAGACACAGGTGCGTGCGATACACTATACACTACACGACCACACTACGACCCAGACACAGGTGAGCGCGATACACTATACACTACATGACCACACTACGACCCAGACACAGGTGAGTGCGATACACTATACACTACACGACCACACTACGACCCAGACACAGGTGCGTGCGATACACTATACACTACACCACCACGCTACGACCCAGACACAGATGCGTGCCATACACTATACACTACACCACCACGCTACGACCCAGACACAGGTGAGCGCGATACACTATACACTACACCACCACGCTACGACCACGGCACGTGTGACGCTGTGTTTGTCTGCAGGGATTTTCCGCGTTCCGTACGACGGACGCTACTTCTTCAGCGGCACCCTTGTGTCGGCGGACGGGCAGGGCGTCGTGGCGTGGCTGTCAGCAGCCGGTCGCACCGTGGCTCAGGTAACGACGATGAGAGGAGGTGGCCTTTCCTGCCCCGCAGGCATATTATTTTTGAAATGTGCATCCCGGCAATCGCTCGCTCTCGCCACTGCCAAAAATGTGACTCTATAGCGACGCTTTTTGGCCTCAAGACTCAGGCTTTATTGTCTCAGCCGGTGAGGCCCCTGTTGAGCCAAGTGGCTCTGTTACAAGGATGACCGCTGCCCAAGGTGGTCGGCAGAAGCGGCAGCAGCAACAGGACATCGCAGTTACATCGAGTCAAGTACATTTATTTTTGGTTAGCATGTCGCGCCTTTCTGGCACAAATCTGCCACGCGAAGGGCATAGAGTTGAATAAAGATTCATAGAGTAAAGTACAGGTGCGTGTAGTTACATAGAGACTCGTATACCGCAGTCCAAGACAGTGGGCAGTGGTGGCAGTTACAGGATATCATTGCAGGTAGAGAATGTGTAGATCAACCAAAGCAAAAATCATTTACACGGAACCCAAGCCAGACCTCGCCGCAAACAGGATTAAACAACAAATAGTGCTTGCGTATGTGATGAGACGACTTCAGAGACACGATTGTAGAGGATTTCTTATTTATTTCTTAATACTTTAACGACAGGGTCACAGAGTAACATTAGCGCTGACTGACTTATAGCTGAGCCAACCGTACAGCGACAGCGGCGACGTACAACTATATAGCTGGCTGGCTATATAGTGACGACGGCGATGACGACTGTATAGCTGGCTGGCTATGCAGCGACGACGACGACTAAGAGATGACAGCGATGACAGCGACGACAGCCAGGACCCGAACCCCCACGACAGCCCCAAACCCCTTTTTGCCTCTCCCTCATATTCACTCAGTGTGGCCAAGCCCCGCCCTTGGCCACGCTCTTGGCCATGCCCTTGGCCACGCCCCTCTTCTCGAACTCTCCTATGGGTTCCAGGAGCTTCCAGTTCAATCTGCTCTTTGACCCTTGGCCCAGTTACGCCCCCCCTTGTGGTCGCTCACGTGTGTATCGTCCTATGCTGCACCCACATCCGTAGTTAACACCCATGGCCACTAGATGGCATACTGTCATTACACATACAAATCAACAACAGTGTTAAAAACCACGATGGCCAGACGGCTCGGAAGGTGTTGCGAGATACCAACGCTTTACCCCACCACACGTGACCCGCCGATTGACCAACTGCGGCCTACAGATTTAACCTGCTGGGTGATGGGCAGCCCTTTGTCTGTTAAACACGTAGTTTTTTAGTCGCGCATTATTCCGTAAGGGGCCGTCCATAAATGACGTCACGCACCTAGGGGGGGGGGTCAGACATTTGTGACGATGTGTGACGAAGGGAGGGGGGGGGGGTGTTTGAGAAATGTGACATCACATAAAAATTCGCAACTTTAAATAAATATAGACAACACATTCTACGTAATTAAATAGACTTTGCAATAAATGTTTTCTCCTACAACATCAGAGTGCAGCGCCACATTAAATACGCACTACAATGACAATAGTTTAAAGCGATTTGAAGCATGTTTTATTTTTTTTGGGGGTGGGGGGCAGAGCTTTGTGATGTCATAATTGAGGGGGGGGGTCTGACTTTTTGTGACGCCATGTGACTAGGGGGGGGGGGGGGGGGCAAAAATCGTCCAAAATCTCGTGACGTCATTTATGGACGGCTCCCAAGGGTTCTGTGTAATATTGATATATTTGCCTTAATGTTGTTGCTGCTGCTGTGCTTACTCACCGCGGATCTCCTGTGTAAGATAGCTGGGCAACTGGCTAAATGGGATCATAAACCCGAGAAAACGACTGGACATCTGTGAAAAAGATATGTATTGCTCATCGGATTCCTCCAGTATAAACAAATATTATAATTCTGATTTTGTGTACCAAATCATATCAATTTAAAGTTTGTCAATCCACTGCTGGATGAAGGTTCCGGTACACCGTGTGGGTCTTCGTGGTTTTTGACGATACTTAAAAATGGGATTATGTAAAACTATAGCAGGAGAGTGTATGTAGCAAATTGATGGTTTAGGCCATGGCCCTCCTTCAGGGTAGATGCTCAATTGGAGTTTGAAACCTCGTGCTTGAACACTGCGGTGCCCTAAGAAAGCTGCAGCAATTTAAGAAAGTTGACAGGTGAACAGTTTTGATTTGACACGTGAAAAGTCTTGAGTCTACGTAAAACGAGACCGCGAATCCGAGTGCACAACGCCCATATAAACGGTGTTAATCGCGAAGCGGTCCATTTGGCTTGCGTCCCTGTGACCACTCACCCCGTGCCCACAGGTGGACACGGCGAAAATATCCAGCCATTCGGAGCCCGGCTTCATCAACGGCAGCCGTTCGCATCACGCCAAAGACACAAAGGAAGACGGCGTGGAGGAGAGAGAGGAGGACGAGGACGATGAGGAGGAAGTGGACGAGGCGGAAGGAGGAGTCGGTGGGGAAGAAGAGGGAAACCGCCTCATCGGTGGAAACGTCCGCCGGCAGTCCGACCGCAACGCGGCGGAGCGACGCGCGACGCACGACAGTGGCGGCGGCGGCTCGGGCCCCGGCGTGTTCGGCGTCATCCTGAGCCTGAGCGTGGGCGACCTCGTGTTCGTCGAGGTGGCGAGCGGCGAGGTGGCCTCCTCCGATCGGCCCTTCACCACTTTCAGCGGGGTGCTGCTCTACGAGACGCCGGCGGCGGCGGCGGCGGGCAGGTAACTCGGCGGGCTCCACTCGCCCAAAGTTGGTTGGCTGCTGCTCCGACGTCGCCGCGGCCGCCCTCTGGAGGGCGCCCTCGACGCTGCCGACGGCGGTTTGGGACAGCGCCGCCTGGGAGAGAGAGAGCGACGCTCGGACCAATTAGGCAGCGATGGTGCGAGCAACCGTGCTGGAGCGCCCCATCTGCTCGCACGGGGAGTGGGTAACTAATTCCTTGCGGAGGGCCGAATCCATCATTATCATCAGCAGCAGCAGCCATTGTCTATCCGCTGCTGGATGAAGTCCTCCCCATGCCGTCAACCATCCCTCACAGACCAGCGCTGCCACCGTCCATCTCAGTCCTGCACGTTCCATTACCAACCTCGTCCATCGGCCAGAAGGCCGAATAGAACTTGCAAATACCTTTGGTGGCCAATGGTACATTAACACACACACATCTCAGTCGCTCCTGCCTGTGACTGAGCGTGCGAAATTTGAAAACACAGACTTGTTGCCAGCTCGAAAATATTGCCTCCTCCGGCACCCAATTAAAGTACAAACAAACTACAACTCCGTCGTGTGCCTCCACATATATACAGTACCTTCAAATGACTATTTAAACCGTCGGCCTATTGGCTAGGCTATCGTGGGGACACACAATGGGGTTCTGCTTGTGTAGTACTCTTGTATCCATGATGCACCTGGGTCACAGCCGGTTCTAAGTGGAAGCCTGGTATTGGCCGTGGGCCGCATGGAGCGAGGTTGTGGGCTCATTCTGACCCATGGGGCATCGGCGTCCCCAGCGCTGAGCTCGCCACTGGCTTCCATGACCGATCACGTGGTCAAGGAGCAACTCGCGAATGGCCGTAGTCGTCGTCGTCACCATCATTTGACCGGGAGATTCAATTCAGGCCCCTTGAGACGCGTGATGCATTGCCTCTTTTTGGAAAGCGCGAGCTCTCACGTCAATTCGTTTAGGACACTGCAGCACATTTAAGAAGAGTTGAAATGTAACTAATCTGGACTATTTTTATTATACATGTTATTTGCAATTTTAATATAGTTCAATTGAGTGATTTTGCAAGACGCTCATGCCAAGGTTCCCCAAACTCCAATCCTCGTGAACCACCCCCCCCCCACACCAAGTTTTTTTCCCCACGTCTACAAATGTATTTCTACCACTCAAATACAAATCAACTTGTTCCATGCTACACCGCGCCCGATGATTGTTAAACACGTACTACGTGGCCTGATCAGCAATTGACTGGGTCGATTAAGCCGATTCCAATGAAGATTGAGCTCACAGCAGTGCATGTGTACACGTGTTCCACACTGCCGCAGACAGCCGGTAATTGCTCGACTGCCGCAGCACGTGGGCGTGTTTAACAAACATCGGGCGCGTGCAGCGTGCAACGAGTTTATTTGAATGGGAGGAGTCAAATTGGTGAAGGCGGAAAGACGGAGTGTGGTGGGTACAGCTTTCCGTGACGACCAGCCATTGGGCGCGGCGTGTGTGGTGTGCGCAGTGGCTTAATTGGCATGTGAATCGAAAAGATTTTGTAAACGCCTAAACGCGGACCGTGACGGGCCTCGTGCCTTCGTGGCTCCAGGTTGACAAGACCACAGAGTCCAGCTCTGGTTTGCCAGGCTCCGATGATGACATTGAAGCATCATGCAGGCGAAAGTTAATTGATAATTAATGGGAACACAAAGGCAACGTGTGGTGATAGTGATGCACCAGCGCTGGGCTTCCACCAGACTAGTTTTTTTTGGGAAGCTGTGTACTGAAATGAAAAAAGCCAATGTCAGCACACTACAGTGTCGGAGCTTGTGGGACTTCTGTGTGAGTTACTGGACATCTACGATATTCTATGGGTCTCTGTGTGCCTCTGCCAGCACATTTAATGTGTGCCACGTTTCCATGATTTTATCAACCTGAGTTGGCTGCCATTTTGAGCCGGAGCCTGAATTCCCCGTGCTGATTTTACTTTACGGCACAAAGGACCTGTATTAGATGGTTATCTAGTCACTACTCGGAGTAACGGTTAACGTTAACATTTCGCCATGGTGGCGAGATGTTAACTACCTCGCCTGGTATACAGGAGGTCGTGTGTTTGATCCCTACCCTGACGGCTGTATATTTGGAGTTTGCATGTTCTCTCTCCCCGTGGTTGCGCGGATTTTTCTCCGGGTCCTCCGGTTTTCCCCTCCACATTTAGAAACATTCATTACGAGTATTTGGCTGCTATAAATTTCTGCGTGATAAGCAACTTCGTTGAGCTCTCATTTGTGGCTGGGTCACTTCTGAAAAAAAAGAGCTATGTAGCTCTGTGGGCCTTGCCTGGTAACATACACAAAATAATCATCGTGGTCAGAAATATTTTCAGTTTTTCTTCCACGTGTTCGAAAATGCCTTCGGTAGGTAACGTAAGCCAACGTGGGACTCCGCAAACTGTTTTGCTTCGTGGGGAAAATCGGATTTGGTTTGGCGAACCACATTTTCGGACGAATAACTTATTTCTTTTACGGTCTCAATTGTTGCGGCAGAGCCTGAACGGGTTTCCCCGTGAATGCCAAAGCACGCGTTGCACTGCAGCCAAGTGCCAATCATCCTCTCTCCGCCCATCGCTCACCAAGCTGTACATTCCTCGCCTGCTCTATCGCTCCATCACACGTGCGTGCGTGCTACGTGCTGCGTGTTGGGTACTGTACGAAATGGCTGTACATTTGCTCTGCCGGTCGTGTAACGTTGCCTTCGTCGGTGAAGTGTACACTTTTTTTTGCGCGGTCGTTTACTCGGAATGTTTGCGAATTTTAAAACGAGGCGGCAACATCAGTGGGGAATTCTGGGATTGTTAAGTGGGACACCACCAGAGTGGCGACTTCTGGGATTTTTTTTTAAAGGATGGTGGCACCTTCTTGGAATTTTCGCAAATGTTTGAAACGGAGGATGCCCCTGGTGATATTACTGTATTCTAAAGGTGGGCTGGTGGCTTTTATATTTATCTATGTATTTCTAGTGTGGTTCTAATGAAAGTTTTATTTTTAAAAGAAATATGATGTAATAGTACGTAGTATTTTATTAAGTTTATATGTGGCGATTTGCAAGTTACCTCTTAAATTATGGTAGCTTTGATTTCAAAGAAAACGACCGCTAATTAAACCTGCAGTTTGGAAAATGACTGATATATGTTCTATCTCCGTGAGCAGTGGTGGTGGGGAGGATGGGGGGGGGATTGTGGGGGGGGGATTGTGAGGGGGGGGCTTAAGGGGGGGAGGGTGAGGGGGGTGAGGGGGGGTGAGGGGGGGTGGTGAGGGGGGGAAGATGGGAGTCGGCCCTATAACGTGAACAACACCCCCGTATCCTATTTGTGCATTCACCCTCATTCGTCCGGGTTTTTTTTTATTCTTGAGAGTTTTTACCGTAAGAATGTACGAAATATTTTTTTGGTGCTGTAGTGTTTCTAATATGCAAATACCTAACAGAAAATAAACGATAATTACGATGTAATATCATCCTCCCATGAGATTTTCATGAAAGCACTATGATCAAATGGCCCCACTCGGCAGACATCTCTGGTTGGGTTAACCGAGTGGAAGTCCTTACTGAGTACCCATTTGAGGCCGAGTCAACCTAGGGGGAGACTCACACTTGGTGCAGAATTTTCTCGAACTCATATTCTCCAAGTCATCTTGATCCGGCCTGTGATCCACCACAAGGTATCCAGACGATAACAGCACAGCGAGCGGGTTCTCGCACCCACCCGTGCAGACCTTTCGATTGTTATCCTTTCGAAAAAAATGGGATTTTTTTCCGCGAAAACCTCCGTGCTGATGCCGCTGCTGACGCATCTCCTTGTACTCGTTGGGGTTTTGCCTTGGCCAGCTGCTCTCTGTCTATCCGACACTTCATCAAGCACCGCGGCAACTACGCGAACTGTGTCGGTAGAGCGGGGGTCAACCTGAGTATAATCTGGGCACAAACTAAACAACTGAACTATATTTATTTTTACCCCCCCCCCCCCCCCCCCCCCACTGAGCTATATAGCTCTTTTTCAGAAGCGACATGGCCACAAATAATGTCTCAACGGAGTGGCTTACGTGGAAATGTATAGCAGCTATCTACTCAAAACTAATGTTTCTAAATGTAGAGGGCAAAACCGGATGACACGGAGAAAAATCCACGCGACCACAGGGAGAACACGCAAACTCCAAATATACCGGCGTCAGGGTCGGGATCGAAGCCACGCATTGACCAACGTGGTGAAGTAAAGTCACGCTTCCCCAATGAATTGGGGAGGCCTTCATCCAGCAGTGGAAAAAAAATTACCGGTGCTGCTGCTGCTGCACTTTTTGTCCAAGGACGGTGGACGCAGAATTGCATTGCGTGATGCAAGACAAATAAATATTGCCGAGTGTGTAACGTTAGGGGGTGACCTTGCAGACCGCAGGCATGTCGAGGTATATACATATCCTGCCATACACACTCCAGCCAGATGTGATTTGACAAATGAGCTGCGCTCGTAAACACAGATGCACTGCCACATACAAAAGCACCGTGGTAGCAGCATCAGTGAGGAATTCTGGGATAAAAACAGCTGTACTGGCTAGGATGTTTTTGATTGTACACTTTAGCTGCACTGGCTAGCAATTGTGCGACTAGTAAACAGGGCAGCACTGTGGAATATTCATATGCTTATACGGGGCAGAAGAGGGCTCACAGAAGAATTATGTGGGCTAAATACTACGTCACTGCGTAACATTTATCCAAGACCCAATTTCCTTATGGGAGATAAGAATGGGCAGTAGCATATGCTCATGACCACCGCCACCCCCAATGGCTGCACACACCAGGCCAGGAATTGAATTCCCGTGTGCACGTTTGCGTGTCGTGAATAATGTTGATGCATTCTGACGCTGACCTTTATGCGACAGGGTACACAGTGATGTTTATGGCTTAAAGGCAGCACCCAAATCAATTTCAGTTGCCATCCCAGTCCCCCCTCCTCCTCCACGCTCGTACTCACCCCCCCCCCCCCCAATCTGTTCTCGCCTCTGTGCGTTTACTGGTGGCGACAGTGGAGCGGTCAAACGAATGTTTGAAATGCTCGGAGATGCGAGCGATGAAATGATCTTGTGGTGCAGGTGTGCTGGATGGATTGCTACATCTCAGAACGGCGGCAGTTGGCGGTATCTGGGATGCCTTCATCCACCGATGGATAGAGGCCTTCATTCTGCAACGGATAGATCGTGGCCAATGACGATTTACTTATCCATAACAGGGTTTTTTTTTGGGTCAGATCGCGTAAATATATAAATGTGTCGTTAAAACCCGCCACCAACTAGTAAGGGTTGTCACGTAAACAGAACGTGGCCAATTCGTCACTAGTACAGCACTAACCGGTGTGGTGGGAGAGCCAAGCCACAACATTTACAATATGAGTACGACGTTTCGCCAGTAATTACAACTAGCTTCATCAGGCGAAACGTCGTACTCAGATTGCAAATGTTGTGGCTTGGCTCTCCAACACACCGGTGCGCTGTATTAGTGACGAATTGGCCACATTCTGTTTACGTGACAGCCCTTACTAAATTTCGATTTAAAGCTTTCGTGACTGCAGGGATTCATCTTCTTAAATAATTTGATTATGTTTTATTTTTATTTTTTCCATTCTACGTGACTTTACCGAAAGAACCAAGAAAATGAACCCTTACTAGTTGGCTGTGTCCCTGTGGTGGCGAGTTTCAACGACACATTGATATATGTTTACGCGATCTAACCCCCAAAAAAACCCCTCTTATGGATGATATTGTTACGCGAAAGCATGTCAAGCGATTGATGTACACGAATTTAACAGCGCTTACATTAAGAGCCCGCTCAGGCACATGCCTACCTCCCGGACGGCGAGACTCGAGGTAGTGAAATCACAAATTGGCCATCGAATGTCGGTGCTCGTAGTTCAAGCGGGGGGGGGGGATGAAAACACAACGCACGCGAAGTGTGTGTGGGGGACAGAGCCGGCCCAGCCACTAAGCGACCTTTGCAATTGCAAAGGGCCCCGTGGCCAGCAGAGGGCCCCCTAGAGTCACTGCTAGCTCGTGGGTGAAAAAAATCATACATCAAAGGGGCCTCCAACCAAATTTTGCTTAGGGCCCCCAAAGGTCGGCTCTGCTGGGGGACATAAACGAGTCGCCGTGAGAGACGGCGACTCGGCATTGACGCAGGACCTTTGCGGGTCGTCGAGGCAATGAGTTCTATTGGAGACACGGGGTGCCTTTTTATCGAGATGCCTCGCACATCAGTGCCGCGGCTAAAGACGCCCGAAACGTGGCGTCTGCTGACCTTCCGTTTGACTACAATCCCCGCCACCCCCATTAGCGTGAAGAAGACCCGCGCGTACGCGTCTGTGTGAGTGTAGAATGAGACGAAAGAACACGCGCACACCGCGAGGCTGGGCCTGCCGAGTCTAACTCTACTCTTAGTTTTTTCGGTAAAGTCACGTAGGTAAAAAATGAAATCATTATTTTATTTTTCTTCGTGGTTCTTTCGGTAAAGTCACGTAGAAGGGAAGTAATACAATAATAAAAATAAAAATAATAAAATAATTTATTTTTATTATTTTATTACTTCCCTTCTACGTGACTTTACCGAAAGAACCAAGAAGATGAATCCCTGCAGTCACGAAGGTTTTAAATCGATATTTTATTTTTATTAATTTTTATTTCATTTTTTACCTACGTGACTTTACCGAAAAAACTAAGCGTATGAATCCTTGCAGTCACGAAAGCTTCAAATCTAGAATGAGAAGACAGAGTCTGAATGTCTGTCTTTTCGACAGACCTGCTCTCCACCTGAGGACGGCTGCTTGCGTTGTGGCCGAAACGTCGTGAGAATTATTTTATTATGTTTTATGCTTATTATTTTATTATTTCCATTCTACGTGACTTTACCGAAAGAACCAAGAAGAACATTCAATTCGTTAGCAGGGTTACACGGTGAACGGTAGAGGGCAGTGGAGCACAATACTGTCATTTGTTGTACATTACTGTGCTTCTATGCTCCCGCGTTGTACGCCTGCAACCAACCCCACGCCGCCGTGTACGGAGGAAGACCAACATCCAGCAGTGGATTGACAAAAAAGCTGTGCGTGTACGCGGAATGAATGCACATGTGCTACGGAGAGACGTGATAAAAACAACACACAAAAACGCGAACAAAAAGCACTCGGTCTTTTTAGTATTATGCAAAATCCACCAGCAGTTCCTGAAGAACTGCAATTGTGGCCATCTCGTCTTATGTCACCATGAAAATGCATTTGAGTAAATGTGGCCAACTGGCAGGCTAGCTTTCGACCGTCAACTCCAAGGAGATAAAACTTGCAACTTTTTTTTAACAACAGGAAGCAGGACAACAAGACGACGGTATACCGGGGTTCGCCTTGATTAGGAATCATCAGTATCTCAGAGGGCTCTTATGTGGCCGGGTAGGACATCCCGTACCACTGTGGGGGGTGGGGAGGGGGGGACAGTTTGGCACCGCCTAGAAACCACTTGTAACGCGTTCTGTCTGCACGCGCGCTTCTGCCCGATGAGTTTGATGAGTTTCTCCAATTGGTTTGCCCACCCCTTCCATTAACACGGCCTCCGGGGGATGAACACGAGGCGAGAGCGAGAGAGAGGAGAGATCTGGACCGTTAACTCGCGGCGCATTTCCCCTCCCCCCCCCCGTCAGCCGAGATTGGACCAGCATAGTGAGGGTTACTTAAGGGAAACAATGTTAATCTCAACCGAAAATAAATGAAATATCCGAACGAATGAATAATTGAAAGGCTGAGCGTAAGGTCGGAATATTGTATTCCATTGCCACATCCACCGCAATTAATTTTCGAAAGGCTGCTGCCCTTGTCAAGATGCAGAGGCACTTGTCACTAGAGCTAAAGGCCCTCAGGGGCTCAGAGTCTCGGAGAGAGATATATATAAGACAGAGCCTAATAAAAACTAAACATTCACCAACCACGGACTGGGAATTGTCGGAGAGAATAACGCAACATACCGACAGTGTGTGTGTGTCATTGTTGTCGCTAAGATGGAAATTAGAAGGCACCGGTGTGTTTTGGGGGATGTTTCTAGCACATATTTGAAGATCCGAAGCACAGTCAATGTCTGTATAATCTGCACATGTTATTTGGCTCCTGGGTAAAGGATAAAG